TTATAGTAACAGTTGGGCCTAGTGCTTCGAGAAACTTTTTTTCTGCCACTGAATTACGGAAAGTTTAATGGAGCAAAGATTGATTTTGTACGAAGGGGAGTTACTCCAAAGCCTACAACCCGAAAGATACACTGGCATTCAGAAGACAGGTTATGATGGTAATTTGGAAAGTTGCAACCTAAAATCCCTCGGTTCTGAATTGTCGAAGAATTTAGAGTGCTCTTTTGGGCGCCAGAAGACTCAGTCCTTCTTTCATTCGGCATTGCCCACTGCACTGTGTCCAATCGTTGATCTTTGAACTTAAGCAAGACCGGCCATTAGGGTACAGGCACCTCTCCATGTGTACGTTTTTCGGTGCGCTGCATATACGATGTTTTCATGCGCATGACTTTCACAGACACTGGAATCGACTCCATTAACCTAACATACACGTGTGCGTTGCGTTTGACCGTCAAAATCTGCCTGGGAGCAATTTTTGACGGTTACACAACGCTTGGCGCAAGTGTTGACGCGTATGGAAAGATGCCTTAGAGCTTAGTCTGTCCAAGATCAGTCGGATGTCCTTGAAGTCAAACAGTTTAGGTCCTGCACTCTCGCTTTGCATCGAATTCTACTGTTATGAACATCTAGTCAGCATTCACTCATGTTCCAAATGATTAACGGTGTGTGTTGTCACTTGATATCTCCCTCATGAGTCAATTCATTCTGATTATTTAGACCTATAATGGTCTTTGGACATCATGTTTAAAACGATGAGAGCACCTATTGGTGAAGTCATGTTAATGTGAAGTAGCGCATGTTCTAGGAAGTCACTCGCTGAAGCCAACACACGTCCATTCCCTTGATGTCTCTGTTAATATGTCGCATTAGGGTAAAGGAGCCCTGTAGTCTTCAGATGTGGGCACGATAGGTCGTTAAGTTTATTGAAGCCGGCACGGATATGGCATAATTTATGTTCACGTGACCACGAAAACGTTTACCCTTTTATTTTTGATAGGGTAGAACCTTAAATATACTGCTGAACATCCGTTGTTAATTTGTCGAATTTGCAACCTGCTTCCGACTCTCAAATTTAATGAGGCAGCATCACTTATCATTTTGTTTCTTTTTGAAGCCACTGATTTACCTTCTTTCTCTCTCTTTCTTATATTTTTTATCTTTTGTTGCTCGTTCATACCTATCAACGAGAATCAGACTTTTGACATTTTGACAAAAGTAGTGTATTTCCCCCGAGGAAAGCCATTCAATCAAATCTCACACAACATGAACGATGAATTTGCAGAACCGTCGTGATAAGTCGGGGGCCTTTTAATGACATTGTCCAACCAGAAAGAAACATTCCCTTGGCCAAAGTCCCCGACGCCCCGCTTTTAAACCAGCGATGGTCAGCAATTGTTGCTTTGTGGGGAAAAAATCCCGTTGATGAAACCTCGCTGACGAGTGGGTAATTGCCATGATCAAGTCCTTGTTTGAACGCGTGGTACCAGACAGATATTTTGAGCCATGTCTCCAAATAGCTTGGTGTATACTTTCAGGATAACCTTAAAACAGGAATTGTTGTGAACAAAGCCTTCAGGTTAAGCGCGAAAAGTCGCGCGAGTGTCAAATCTTACACAGTCGCGCTTTACCCGAGTAAGCGTGGGGAAGGTAATCGAACACGATGAAGGTTACCAACGAACCGGCCCTCGCTATCCGTCTGTTAAACTTTAAACAAATAGTTCGGGGAAACCGGCTCATGTCACGCCGGAGTTGAGGGGGAGGGCTCTTCATTATTGGAGTGGACTTTGCCTGACATGAATGGAAATGAATGCTTGGATTTACAAACGCAACTAACAAGGTTTTACCTCTCATCAACACTCAGGAATTGAAATAAATTCAAGGATCGGCAGTTGAACCATGCTTTGCATATTTTTTAGAAGAAAATCACTCATGCCTCCGACAGTGGGCGGAAAATGGAAGTGAAGGAGGGCCAGACTGATGATCCATAGAATCTTCAGATAAATGACATCTAGTTGCTTGGTTCGTCAACGGCAACAATGTTTCCTGTGCATTTTTTTTTTCTTTCGTGAATTATGAAGCACTGTGTTAAGCCAGGGTTCAGTATCCCGCAAGACCCGGCTGGGGTTAGGATTCTAAGCTGGATTCATCTCTGTGTCCAGAACTACGAAATGGTGCTCTGTCAACTGATGATCAGTCAAGTGAGCTGATTCATTGCCGTATACGCCAGATAATTGCTATTTCTATAGACCGATTGCGCCCGTTAAGTCACGTGACCTTTAGTGGATATTAAACATCAACAAACAAGGCATCGTTTCATGGCAAAATGTGGTTGAAGTGTTGTTTACCAGAAATAAAGCCGACAGTCGGTAAAGTACTCGGACTACTGATGTGCTGATCACCATACCGAAAATCAACACTTTTATGGTAAATAACACTTAAGATACACTTTGCTAAGGGATGCCATGTTTGTTGATGTTTGATACCCAGTATAGGTTGAGTGACTTAGGTGGCACAGTCGGTCTATTGATGTACCACTACGTGCGAAAGAAATGTTCGAGAACGTGTAGGCATTTTATCCTTTGTGAAAAACAGAGTATATTTATTTATCAATGGCTACATTTGTTTTCAATATGGTTGGTTAAAATGTTAATTTTTCCCCAATCACTAACATCAGGGGCGGATCCACGATTTTACCCGGGTGGGAGTCAAGCCTGTCAGTTATTTTTCATTTCCAATCGTTGGGAATTGGCGCACAGGTAGGTCATTACCTGCATTACATCATCTGATGCACTCAAGCGTCACATCTACACGTGGTAGGATGTCATCTTCCGCCATGTGTAATTGTTATTTCATTGTTCATTATTTTAGTTATTTATTTTGGGGGGGGGTGTTAGAGCGGGGAATTAAGGTGTCGATAAGGATGACTTCATCATTCTCGGACAACGTTTTATAGATGTGGATACATTATTATTTATTTTCATTATTTTAGTTATTTATTTTTGTGGGGGGTGTTAGAGCGGGGAATTAAGGTGTCGATAAGGATGACTTCATCATTCTTGGACAACGTTTCATATATGTGGATACACACTAAACGGTTTCAAGGAAACTTAAATGGATCATACTGAGAGCGAGACTCAACTCGGGCAGGGTTTACGAAGAGCAAGATGAAACCACTCCACCAAAACTCGGACTGACTTCAATCAATCAACGTTAACTCGCTAGAAAAAAGTCACTCGAGCGTCACTTCTATACGAATAATGAAGGCTATAGGCTATAACAATCCAAAATCGTGGAGAGTGGTCGAAGATAGCAACATTAGCGTTTGTTTACAATTCGTGTATTTATTGTTACGCAAGGTAATTCACAATAGGTACTGGGCCACAAAGGATTTCAATTATATTTTAATATATCGCAGTGGTTTAATTTTTGTACAGAAAAACATAGAATACGTTAGTTTATACATTTTTATATATGCTTTTGCTGTATAATAAGACCATGAAATATTCAAACTATTACAGCGTATTAGAGCTCTGGTATTATAATGTGAAATAATAATTGTGAAATGTTATATTTATTGAGGTTTTGTTTAGAATTTGCAAATAATTATTCATACTTAAACGTAAAACTAAAGACATCTAAAGGGAGTTATATCTTGCGTCTTGCATGTACTTCGGCAGTATTAACATAATAGTGATTTTAATTGCTGTTTGTATCCGACTCTAGCATTGTGTATTTTCTTTTGATTATAAATAATCACCCAAGACGAAGAACGTGTACTTTCCGGTTATCTCCATAATGGTAGAATTAATGCCCCCGCTTCAATCGTTTCCGTAGACTTTGTCTAATCCCACGACATGCAGAATTCATGATACATAATTATAAATATAAAATATGCAAAGCCGTGGGGGCTGCTTTTTCCTGACTCTAATTTTGTAATGCCCTTTACAACCTAAGAAACCAATCATCTTTTGCTAGCGAAATTTTCTGGTGACCTTTTTTTCTGTATGTGTACCCTAATTGCAGTATAGTATTATGACCTATCAGACATTTTGCACGATACACTGTCTTTCTCAAGTCAGTTCAAGTTTGCCACCAGGAATTGAATTCCGAAGTCTTGTACGCTTGGTATAACATAGTACAAACCGGAATCGGATTGGCATACCAGCCATGATTCGGGTCTGGCTAAAAGTGCATTTTGGATTTAGTATGTTAGTGGCGCTACCGAAAATATCTGTACTGATCTCAAATGATTTCACATGTTAATTTATGGAAGGAATTTTTCCTGCTCGAAAAGAAAATTTCGGCCGTCTAATTGGTCAGTATCAAATACCCTCTTAGCAGTGGAAAATGCAACAAATCGCTTCAGTGGAGAATCCCTTCCCTTGTATGCAGTTCATTCTTGTGAGTTATAAAGTGCCCTGGAACCAGCGACAATATCTGACGACTGGTCACGGCCTCTTATGGCATGCATGTACAATATCAATTCACCGGCAACCAGTCTCTTTGGGGAGCTTAAATGGGCCATCTTTATTTGGAGTGCGCGGTGTCCGCCGTTTTAGGTATAATTACGCAATAAATTATTACTCGAGTGAGGTTTCAGATACGACCTGTTTCACCCAATTTACCGGTCATGCTGTCGACGAGTTCCTTGTTTGTCGTGGCCAGATGGGGTCATTAGTCATCAAGAAAGCACATATAATAAGCATAGGGCAAATTCGAGCCACGACTATAGTTAGCCGTTCTTCAAACAACATCGCCAGAACGATGGCTGGCTTTAACCGTCCAGTCGACCATTTGTAACCAGGCCCTGGGGCTTGATGGCAACGCTAGTTGTCATTAGCCGGTTCTATTTATCAGTATACGGAGGGAACAATACGGGCGTTTCACAATAGTGCGCCTCCAAGAGTTTGCAACGCGTTGAACAATCACAGTGTGCAAAATCTGTCGACCCTTTCCAAACGTGCAATGGGTAAACAGATTTCGCGCATTGTGATTGGTCAACGCCTTGCAAACTCTTGGAGGCGCACTATTGCGAATCGCCCATTATTCACATGAAAATAACAGCACGAGATATCATTGACCATGAATACTGCGAGAGTAGCAACCGATGGCATATTTCGGATATTACCAAATAGTTCACAAAGCAACCTCGACTCCATGGGCTGCATGAGCGTTCTTCCACTAGATCGCACAAGGCATGGTAGGAACCAACATGGCGCGGCAAGATTGTACCCATGGGAACGAGGCTGTTCATAAGGGAAGTGAACGTGTGAGGGAAGTTTAAGTGTAACTGTATTGCGCCTGCGCATTGATGATAAGAAGCAACTGACTAGATGCCAATCTTTAGTCCGACCCCGAACATGCTCACTTTGGTAGGTTCTTGTGCTATCACTCTTTGGATGTTTTAAAACTACAAACCAAGTACTTGCACTTCCAAGTGGAAGTAAACGTTTTTGTTATTTGACTGTCGAAAAAGTGCCATCTTTATAATTCAAACGGTGCCACATGATTACGATGAGCTGTGATGGGACAATTTTGATACATGGAGCTACATTTGGGTAATGATACATGACAGTATACAGAGCAAATTAAACCTTGTATAAGCAGTGATATCTCATTCCTGTTTGCAGGCGTGTGGTGTCTCTTCCTACTATTTGCCTTCTAAATGCATCTTGTTCGGTTCCATGTACCTCTTTTTTTTTATCTTATCTCACCCTTCTCACCCCGATAGAACCACCATCGCCATCTTCATCTCCACCTCCTCGTCCGTATCACAGGTCGCGTCCCAGCCTCTCCGTTTCATCCAGGAGGAAGTCCACGTCGGCCTTGGTGGCGGCCGGGTTAGAGAACACCATGCGGAAGAAGTTGACCCTGTTCCCTAGCGGCTGGTAGCCCACCATCAGGGTTCCGGCGGCCATCATGCGGGCCTTAATCGCCGGAGCGACCTGCCGATGCGCGTAGAAGAGGGATAAGGGGTGAAAACCGGAAGTGGTAAGTCCAAAGCGCACGAACACTGTACATAAGAAAGTTCGGTCGTGGCTAATATGAGCTTTGAAACTGCCCAAGATGCTTTGACAGTGGCATATCCAGATTTGGGTTGGTAAGGGAATTGACTGGAGCTCTTCTCTTCAACGCGAGAAACAAGAGATTTTTAATTGGGTAGGGTTTGTGGTGGTGCACTTTGGGACACACTGGTACTGCCCGGCTAAACAAAAATATTCTCTGGCAAACCAGTTTTCTCCTGACCGACCCGTCATTAGGCGAAAACTCCACTGCCACTGCCCCCCCCCCCATCATTGGGCCATCTTTTTCATGATGACAACGATTTAAGCATATTTTAATCACAGTTTATGAAGACTCAATGACTGATAATAGCGGATGCACTGTATCTGCAGGTGCACCACAGTTTAAATACGCATGTCAAACGCATTGGTAACTCGAGGTGCGCGTGCATATTCGCAAGTCACAATACAGGGTGCGTTCGCGCGGTTACTCCTGTTAACACGAACAAGATACATGCGCATTACACTCGGGTAAGGAGTATACTTTCCCCCACCCTCTGGCGGGAGTATACATTCGCTGACCCCCGGGTCGTACTCCAGCCGTTCGAGCGCTCAGGAGTATACTCGTGTTCACACGAGTAGCTCGCTCGAGAAATATGGAAGGGCTGCGTAGCACCTAGATCAGAATATTGACAAGAATATAATATCAAATCAGCTTTCGGTAACTGAGTACCTTCTTCTTTGCGTTACGACTTAAGCGCGATCGTGATATCATCACAGCAATGGCTTCTACTTCTTGTCGCTGGAGTGGCATACAGGGTTGGGTGTTGAAAATACCGTTCTGTACACAAACCTCTCGAGAAGGGATGGTTTGCAACATAGTTCGTGTTCTGAAAGACAACTCGCGTCGGTATATGACTAACTCGCAGCGGTGGTTGAAAGCGGATGGTTGAACCATGCCTAATTTGCTTGTTCACTGGTTTGTCTTGTAAGAGCAATCGCTGACAAACTGTGACCTTGCAGCCGAAATGGCATCCGTCACAGGAAACCAAAATCATCACGGGTGTCGATACTGAGTCTGAATCAACAAACAGGGTACTCACTCGTATGCACTGAGGCTTTCAATTGGATTGATGCGCACAGCGACAGTGACGTGACAAAACAAAACGACTGTTTGTGTAAGGATGTTACTTGAAAGTCCTGCAATAGGGCTTTTCACGCACGTTTTTCCGCGGCTTAAAAACTGGAGGCACAAGAGAGCTCTCTGTGATTTAACTTTGCTGTTACCACAACAGCTTTCAGCAAAAAGAAAGGAGATTTCCCACGAAAAATCTTCAAAATCCCTTTTACTTCGCCTGATTTGATTTGACTAAATAATTTCCAAGCAACAAGTTGTTCAACCAAATCAAAACTGTTCACGTGTGCCTTTTCCGCATATCTTTACCCATAGGCCTACGTCTTTCGCTGTTTTATAGCGACAAATTGCCAAGGAGAATTCCAAACGACATTCGGGGGACAGAAATCGCCTAGTATGATATAACAGCGAGCGCCAATACCATTCAACGGATAAATATGCACAGGCCTACTGATAGGAAATTGATTCTGCTGGCCTGTTGACTAGCGATCCACCGGTCCCCAGCCATCACAGACAAACACAATTGATCACTCCAAAGTCGGCACTCGTGTTTGCCCTTATCCACTTTGGGAGTACCGACACGGGATTTTGCCTTGTTCGTTCGCTAAAAAAGAAACCCGCGGTCGATTTTATGGCATTGGGCGCAGTGCATTAGCGACAAGCGAGAGCTTTTTGTCGGGAAGATAAAAATATCTAGGTCGAGCCACTTAAGTGGAAAAATCATTTATACGGGGAGATATAAGAGATATTTTTGTGAGGCTATTTTTCTCCAGCCTTGGCTCAATTTCACAGAGCTGCTTAAGCACAAAATTTGCTTAAGCGAAAGAAAACCTTGCTTGATAAATCAGGTAACCAGCCACAACTCATATACATGTTATGTATATTGTTTTGGAATGGTATTTAGCTGTTTTTTGGTTAGCGTGACAATCACATTGAGTTTGAGTTGGTAACTTTTGCTTATTAAGCAAGGTTTTTCGCGCTTAAGCAGATTTTGTGCTTGTTAAGCAGCTCTCTGAAATTGACCCCAGCTGGTGCTACGTGCGCTGGTTACTCGTTTTTTTAAGTCAGAGGAGAAGAATTTGGGTTGAAATATTCATCTGGGCATATAATTATGACTGAAGAATAATTGAAGCATTATTCAGAGAATTCCGGGTCTTTGTTTAAAAGGATGTGGCTGCAGTGGTCTGTCTGTGTGTTGGTCTGCTTGCCTGTCTTTGTTTATTCTGCTCTATGTGATCTGATCAATGTGCTGTGTCAACGGATTTTCGGCTCAGTAGTCAGGATGTCACTTAGTTGTCTATTCGTCGAGCGGCTCGGTTTGTCTAGCTCTCAAGAAGGCAATCGCTTTTTTCTGTCGGTTGGTCGGGCGATATGTCTATCTGTCTGTACCTTGTGAAGCAGAAGCTGTTTTTCCCTTCCCTCCTCCATACTTCGTAGACTAGGCGGTATGTACCAGTAGCATACATTGGTGTGTTCAGGCTGAAAACCGTGTGAAAACAAAATTTCAGCCAATGGTAACGCCACTTCTTCACAAGTTAGCTGCATTTTCTTCCAAAAGGGAATTTGGCACAACATTCCACTCTGGCAACTTATTAGGAAATAGGGAATCACCTTTCATCACTTCATGTTTGGATCCATCATTGTATTATTCATTTACTGTATTGTATAATTACGTCGTTGGGATTGTTATCACACAGTGAAAACAAAAACAGACAAGCGTTAGATACATCCCTGAACGTTTGTCTGTATACCTGTTTTCCATTATACTCGAGTAAGCACTGGAGTCCACAACCACAACACTAGACAACATCGCTGTATGGGGTATAAAAGCCCTTCTCCTCGGCCAAATCGCCACCATCTACTGGGAAGCCTGGAGCCATGAATTTTTCTTAACACCTAAACGACCTTCTTTTCTCATCAGTCGTGACTAGACTCCGATACTTGGAATGGGAAACTCCCTACCACCGCTCTGTTTTGCCCCAAGCATTAAGGAAAAATCACACCCTTGAAGGTAACCCAAACTGACCTCGTGGGGTTTTAGGATTGCATGAAGAGGCAGGGTGAAATTAAGGTCAGAGGTGGACGCCGAGAACAGCACTGTTCCAAGATGAAAGCAAAGGTTTCACCCCACTTCGTTTTGTACAATTTTCGAGGTAAGGAAAATCCAGAGTGATTTCAGAAGGGCAATGATTCCCTTATCCGAATAAAAAAGAATCTCCACATTTCTGATTAAAGCATTTTCTGTTTGACATTTCTCACCTTGTCATACACAAGTTTGAACCCTTCTCTCGACTTCAGCTTTTCCAGCAGGTATCTAGTTATGAAAGACAACAGAGGCAAGCGGTGAGCGGAGCTGTCACGAAAGGACAGTGACTTCCGGCGCCCGCACAGGCAGGCAAATTTACACTGTGTTATCGCTTGAAAATATTTCTTGTCATGTTGAGTAAACACGGCTTGTTCTTGAATCAGAGTCGCTTTTGGAAGCCTTTTCCACCTCAAATGCGCAGAGTGGACTGCGGACGAGATTATACTCAACGACCTCCATGACATCTTTGCTTTGCAGATTTAATCCTTAAAGATGCGCGGGAGTCTTTGTGGTTCATAATTATTAGTCAATCGCTGCCCTGGCTCCGGAAATTAAATGTTTACCCGAGGAAGAAGCAGAATGTCTATCGCTTGTCGTCAACAGAATTCATTTATCGCTTGACGTACGCATGAGTGATAAACCGTATACTCACTGGGCTAGATCGAAGAGCTTATTGACGTGGTTTTCGAAGCCCCGTGTTCCCTGAGAGGGGGAAAATTAATACAGCACATTAGGCGAGTAACTTTGAGGACATGGGTTACAAGGAAAGTGATTTCGCTAGACTGGGCCTGTGCTGGGTTTCCCGGTATCCGGATACCCGATCTTTACAGAAACAGGGTCCCGGTTCCAACCGCACTGGCCTATTAGAGACATGGCAGAACCCCATTCATTTCTTTCTCCTCTTCAAAACTTCCTAAGTTGGGTGAATTGTAGCGTAATGCTAGCCACTAATCTCGGGTAAACTGTCCCTAACACCTCTAGTACTTTGGCAAATATTGAACAATTTCTCATGAGATGGCACTGAACTGGACGATGATGTCATGTATACAAAAAAGGTGGTTTTTCAAGTTGTCATCGACAAAAACAAACAAAACTGTATCCTACAATAGAAATTCGAGCGCATTGCCCTCAACGCGTAAAACGTGTCGTTTTACCTTCGCGCGCCACATGAGCCAGAACTTGAACACATCCACGTGCCGACCGCACTGAATGGTCTTGTCACCCGTGTCGTACGATACGTCGTAGTGTTTGTCCTGCTGGAACAAGTAGGGCGCCCTCATCGAGTTGCAGTCCTCTAAAATACACTGCCCATAAAAACGGGGAAAATCCAGTGATCAGACAGCTAGTTCCGATCTGAACTCTTAGCCAGCACGAGTTTTGTAAACAAGAGTATTTGATTGAGTTGTTGTTTCAAAGCATAACTACCATCAGTTCTGGGTGGTTGTCTTAGGAGAAACTTCCCAAATTTGCCACGTACTCAGTCGATACATGTACATGTACAGTGGTTGCTTCCATCTAGACCAACCAGTGCATCTAGAGATTACAGGCCCCGAACTGGACCAAGAGAGTGTGGATTGTTTCTAGAAACTGCGGCTTCCTTGGTGGGTACTGCACTCCAGTGGCTCACAAACGACCAGGAAATGCACGTGTTACGCGGTTGCTTCGCTAGCACAGACATACGAACGCACAGACCAAGCAATGGGCGAAAGGATGGATGGCAGGCACTCACATTGCCTGTATTGTTTCCACGTGCCGACTCTACATATGCCAGTTTAGGTAAATGGGGGAGTTTTTTCGCAATCAAAAAATGGCTTCGTATAACTTTTTGGCTGGGATTCTTCGGCTGTGCATAAATTCCATATATCGAGGGGGTGAATTTACCCTTAGGTTTGATTTTAGTCGGGTTCCACGCAGATCACGAAATGATTGTGCAGTTTTGAATACGATCTAGTGGTATATACGTTTATGTCTGTGGTCGCCACCAACAAAACGAACACTCCCCGCCAACATGACCCTTTGCAACCGATGAGGGGGTGCTTCTGCTTAAGGCGGATACACTGTATTCTTACGTCTTCTTTGAGAAGAACAGCGGAGCATTGAAGCAAGACACCCATGAGCTTGTGAGGATTCCACGTCACAGAATCGGCCCTGTAAAAGTTGTCACCAAAGTTACACTCGAATGAGATTCTCTGAATCAAAATGTGTTTGTAATGCAGTCACCATTTGAAAGAAAAGTGCAATACATGTACACAGGTACAATTTCAAAGGACTGTCCCCCTCTGTTTCCCAACTCCATCAAGTAAGAAAACTTGATCGCTACGTAAGATTGTCCAAAGCTTTTCCAAACTGGGGAATTGCGTATACTGGCGTGTCTGCTCCTGAAGGTTGAGGTTCGACTTGACTGTTATTTCCCGACGGTGGCATTACCCAGTGACGTAACTGCGGTACACGTTGTAGGGGGAACGGTGGGGCCCACATTTTCTGGAGGGGTACCCAGGCGGACTGTAATCACGTTTTTCCTTCTGTCATGGGGGAAGGGGGAAGGGATCGTCCCCTTTCCCCTGTCTTAGTCACGATACATGTCCTAGCCAAGTTAATAAAGATGTATTTCAACCTCTTTCCCTCCTGCACTGCCTTACCTATGGATGCCATCCATTTTGTGTCGGTGCTTCCTGGACATGAGAACGCCGCCACCCCAAGCTGCCTGCAAGTAATTACTTACAGTTAATATTGGTGGTCCTTATTGCGTATAATTACAGATCTGATATCAATTGGCTTGCATACAGGTAGATGTTTTTCAGACGAAAAAGTTGGAATTTAACTGGGTCACAGTTAAGGTTAGCCTTTTTTCTTTTTTTAAATATTTTTTTAATTAAGTAGGAAGCACGCCCTCTCTCTTGGACAAAACTTGCTTTACATTGCAGTGGAGGGCGCTTTTACACGAAGCCGTGGATTGGGTCAGCAGACGGTACGTAAAGGGAGCTGCACTGGTATCACGTGCAAGCTACATGTATCTTGAAATGCTTACAGCTATTTTTTATTTATGATTGCTGGAGAAATTTTTGACAGAAAAATCACACACAAGTCCAACAACTGTCGATCTTTGATGTAAAAAAAAATTCCTAAAATATGGCCAATAATTATCGGGGCTGCTATTCCTTACACTTCAAAGCAAAGTTAGTGTTTTTTATTATTATTATTATTATTATTAAATAACTCTCGTGGATGCATTATGTACTTTCCAATGGAAAATAGGTTATTTGTCAGTCTTGAGAGGAGACTAGTCTTCACACCTCGTAGAAGCTTTCCCTGTTGAGATGCCAGGCTTCCCCTTGAAAAATAAAACCCAGAGCCGCGATTTTAGTCTTTGTTCAAGTCGAGTTTGGCCAGCGTCCAGCCATGTACTCACGTCTACGTGCATCCACAAGCTGTACTTCTCACAGAGGTCGGCCACTGCGTTGAGCGGATCGAATGCACCTAGCACAGTCGTACCGGCGGTAGCGTTGACAAAGAATGGTTTATCACCCTAAAAACGAGATTGTCATGTGGAGAAAACGGAGAACACGTTGGCCAAATTAATGTCTGTAGTGTGAAGTTAAAACACGTGGGGATATGAAGAACGATTTTTTAAAAGCAAAACTTGTGCGCCTCTCAGGGTGGATCCAGATTTTGCTTTTCTAGGCCCGTCAGATTATGTTTATGTCCGATAGTTGCCGAGACAGGGAGACACAGTTGCCGCATTACATAATGCACCTGCCTTTATACACGTATGGTAGGATGTCACCTTCATTCATTATTACTATAATGGTCACGTCATCTATACTATTTTTGTCATTATTGTATGTGTTTGACCTACCCCCCCCCCGAATCACCTCCTGCCTCTGTCTGGAGACCCTTTGTTCAAAATAAGAAATAACAAGTACGTCACTGTTCTGTTTATCTGGAGGAAACGCCTATTTCCCAATTTCTCCGGTGATTTTTTTTTCATACTTACTCTTGCAGTCGCTTGTTGAATCTTGTTCTCCAAGTCTTCCAAATTCATCTTGCCTCTACATTTGACACATTAGAACAGAAATTAAAAGGAAACCCTCATGCATTATTTGAAAGTTCATTGCTTGGTCGTGTCGATAGACAGGTCATCGACTTCAACCGGCGCCAAACGGATGTATGAATTGAAATGCGGGAAATCAGTGTTGTAACGAGTCACTAAATTTGGTGACTCGAGTCGAGTCGAGTTATTAGGTCGAGAAGTTGAGTCTCTTTGTGTAGTTGAGTCGAGTCAAGTACCGAGCTCGAGTCGATTTGACTCTCAAATTTTGGAACAAAATGCAATAAAAACACAACATGTATAAGTTATTTTTGGTATTGTTTCCATGAATGGAGGAAGAAACAAGACCGGGTCGCACTGTGCCGCATGCTCTGTGTACATCCTGTACTACGTATTCACGATAGAATAAGAACAGCGCCGAAAGTCAGATTTCAAATGTTTTTCGCAAAAAAAGTTTGCTTTTAAATTTTTCGAGGGTTGGGTCATTTGGTCCCAGAGACTCGAGTCGAGTCATTTACCCGTCGGGACTCGAGTTGAGTCGCCAAAAGTTGTGACTCGAGTTGGACTCGAGTCATTACAACTCTGTAGGAAATGTAGTTCGATTTTAGAAAATGTTGATATTGTTTTGGCCGAAGACAAGTAAGAATAATCACTAACTCAAACATCTTTCACGAGGAATAGGTCTTTGTAAATTACTTGACTGACTGGAATGTGCTTTGAATTCAAAGTACGTTTCTGGTTGCTTTTAAAAGGATGATTAAAAAATGCAGACAGATTTCTCTGTGAAATTTACCTCGGTCTCTTACATTCCTAGGAAGCATAAGTTTCTCAACCCACCCTATCTCAATGAAAAAGAGGATGTTAAACTTTCCGATTAGTCAAGAAACTGTTCACGGCGCCCTCTCTCGAAATTGAAACTCCAACAAAATGGGTAGTGACATTATTATGACATACAGTACCTGTTATCTGTATCGATATAGACGACATTGTCTGTTCCAATGCCCAGGATGGCCGCTGCTCTTTTCAACGAAAAGTGACTCTGTGTATAAAAGATGGAGAGAAAAATTCTGGTAAAGTTCATTGTATTATTGATTGGGTAATGATTGAAATGTTTCCAAAAAGGAGGAATGGAACATTTCAATTTATCTTTTCCGGAACAGAATTGTCTTTCAAAAATCGCGGAGCGCACAGTCCTATTATGTTTCTCATAAATACTTGTTGGCAGATCTATACAAAATCAACATTAATGCAGGGTTCCACAGCGAAGTAATATTAAGTTTATGCATATCCCGGACTTTTGAGAATCACGGAAAGCCGTATATTTGAAACTCGAATAAGCCAAAACTACGGCAAGGACCAGGCTCTTAGATTGGGAATATGTGTTTTTAATCTTCGAAGTGCGACAGCCAGATTACAGCATTGAGTTCTGATATAGGAGAATCAAAAACTCTTAATAGACTAATGAAATCCTATTATACGTCATAACTGTGGTGGTACCGCACTCACACGCACATTCTTCAGCTTGACACACGCGTGCATTTGGCAAGTCACGACACCCTGTTGAACGAAGAGGCACGAAACGCGCGCGCACCACCTGTTCGCGAGCAATCTACCGCCGCAATAATGGCGTCTGATCCAGTCGTCGAATTACACTGTAGGAAAATCAAAAAGTCCAATACCAAAAGACGGAAATCGACAACGCCCAATCGTCAATAGAATCAATTAACATCTTGGCTAGGGATGTTTGATTCTGACTGTCACTGTCATCGGCCAAGACGTACACTACAGTGCCAATTGGTTGGCTACGCGCCCGAAGTCGATCTCCGCACGTTAAACCGTTTGACCAACTTTCTATTTATGTGCCACCCAGTTACATGTTTTACCAATCACAGTAATGTTGCAAGCCTTGTTTAAATGTCTGTAATTTTTGTAGTCAAAAGGACTTCGCTTTGATTTGCATCATGCTGACGAAAACCTGTACAAAATCAACCCAACATTGTGAGAGAGTCACCTGAGAAATCTCTTATAAAGCCAAAAATTAACCTTTCTATCCCGGTTTTTGTCAAAGGGATGATTACAGGTCATATCCTGTATGAACATAAGTGATGTTTTTCCGAGACCAGCTGGCCGACGTGATTACTCATTTTCCGCCCAGATAAACGTTTTCGAGACCCTCCTTGCCAATTAGCCGCCGACGGATGCTGCTGGAAATGCGACTAGTATCCTATTTCCAACTTGGTGCTCGTGGGCACTGACGTGAAACAATGATTATGGATTGGTAAAAGTTGCGTAAATTTATTTGGAAATTGGGGGATGGGGAAAGGTTGGTGGAATGAGGAATGACTTGCCCAGCCATAAAAATTTGAAAAGCGAGGGGGTGGCACCATCTGACTCCTTATGGAGGTCGATGTTCATGATATTGATGTACATCTGTAATATGTGTTCAGAATGGCATATATTTATGGCTTTTTCAAATTGTTTTCGCATTTTCAGTCCTTGGGAGTCTGAAAAATTCTTCACAGTCCCCTTTAGTTGTTTGCTCTCCACGAAGAAGTGTTGTGAGGGATGATTCAATAGCCCATCCCCCACCCCAAGAAGTGTTGGGGTATGTCCCCCGTCCCCTGGGATTTACGCCCATGGATAACATGGAGTAAAAACAAAATGCGGTGGAAGCTAGACTCTCTTACCATCGGCATTCGGGCTCAGCATGTCGTGGCTGAACATGTTCAGTCGAGTCATCGGCACCTGGGACCGAATGACGGTGAAGAACACCAGAGTGTTTAGACGATCCTCTCGCTTTGGTTTGAATCGCACCTGATATTTATGCACCGTTGCATTTGCATGACCTCTGTTCACAGTGTGGTCATAATGTCACTGAATATGTCTGGGTTGCTTGAAGTGGCGAGATCAACGAAACAAAATCAGTCTTGGATTCGCGAAAGAATGCTGAAATGTATTCCCCTTTTATTGAAATGGCGGCATAAGAAACGCTGGGATATATTTTGGGACAAAAAACTATCCTACTTCTACCCTTTTTGTCACAGATGATTTTCAAACATTCACATCCACATTCATAAGATCTTTGACTCTGCTCGCTGTACAAAATGATAATGAAAACATCCTGTTGAACTTTGATACAGCAGTCATTTGCCGTAACGGCGCACCCGTCCCCCACCACGGCCTGTGTTTGTCACGGTTTCCCGCGAATCTCGATCTTGAGCACTGAGCAATCCACCGCTGGTTCGCTCTTTTGATGAAGTCCTGGCAGTGAACCGACTCGGATGCGGATTGCTGATCCCTAGCTGGATTCGCGTGAAACAAAACTCACGTCTCGTTTAGCCTGCCATACCTACGAGACACGTGAGCCTTATTTATCTAGAATTTAGGACTCGGTACAATCGTTCCACTGAAATGCGATAACAATAGCTGAGCAAAGCAAAAGTGGGAGGGATTGGTAAACGGAGGAGTCTCGCGTATACCTATTGCAGTGATCTTCAAGCTCATGGTGAACTGACGACCACGACAAGAGGCATACACAGACCCCCGTTAATCATGGAAGTGAACCTACGTAGAATTTATCCACGACTCGGTTTGCGAGTATCAATTCATGGTGGGCCATTTTCTTTCCTCGCATTGTTTGAAGCAACGAGTTCACTGAAAGCTTTTAGCCTTGAAATCGACAAAGGTATGCAAAGATGTTTTGAACCAGATTAAAGGAAGGCAAAAACGAAACTCTAGTATTTATTAATGCACTAATACCTTTCTACTGCTGCGATATTTTGGTCAAATGCTGATACTCTTGGGTTATGCATATTCATATTCATGTAGAGTAATTTCGACCTGACTTGCACTCATCGGTAGCGACAATGTGCACTTATCGTTTGAACCTTGACACACTAGTCTCCACACAAGGCGTTCTATTTCCATATTACGAAGCGTCAAGCAAAGTCTGCTGTTGGCTTGGTTCATTGTACATGTACATATATGTTCATGTAGGCTTCGTACTGGGTTCATGGAATGTTCGCCGTGTTGAATTTACTGCGTTTGTGGTCGACGAAAAAAACGAGGAAATTTGGCTTTTCTTAAATCACATAGGCCTATATCGCTATCTTTAAAAAGGTGTGCCTGATTCGTTCATCTAGCAATGAGCTATTATATGCAATATGTATTTTTTTAAATGGAAAAAATAACATGACTTAAATCACTGCAAATGATTTAGTACCCAATCTACTTACCCTCCTCGGCCGAAGACAGAAAGCATATTCCCTTCCTTTGGTCAATTTATTTGTTTACATGTTTCAAAATATCTCTGTCAAACAGTTTTCTTCTTAAAAACAGGAAAAAAACTTAGGACAAATGAAACCGAATCGACAGTCGAGGTTTTTCCGTTTTGGAGCAAAAGCAGAAATTACCTGTCTCCTTCCACGCTGCTATTTGGGCAGAGTGGCGCAGTCCGACCTGCCCGTGGCTAACTTCTGCTCAGTATGATGAGGGGACAAACTTGCTTTTTACGTTTTGTGTGTTTGCCTGTTTCAGTAATCACGGTGTGGTTGCAACTGTGTCCGTCTGGTTATAGAAGTGCCAGTTTCAATATTGGCTTTTATCACATAGCCTTCGCTTATAAATTTTGTGCTGAATACTTGGAAGTATGATCTTCGAAACTAGATAAAAATTGGTTAAACTGAGAATGTTTCGCAAAAGAGGTAATGACAGCGGTAGGCCACACATTAATAATAACAATAATAATACGAAAAATTGGTAAAGGGCAACAGTTTCTGTAGAAAACGCCCCATTCAGATGCGCATTCGACGCTCGTGGGTTTCCGTTAACACGCCGTCGACCACACAGAATGAATTTTTATGGCTCATCATAAAAAAAATTCAGAAATAATCCTTAAACTGGACGGGAACCTGTTTATTTAAATTCGACTGCACCAACACATGTTTTTTATGCCTCTCCATTTTGAGGTGTGAAATTCGACCCCTGACATTCATGTGTACCTGATGTTGAAATTGAATATAAAGGAAAACAAACACACAATCTAAACGGAAATGCTGAGTGTCACGGTTGTGGCTGATTTAGCCTAAGTAACTCTAGTTCCGCGCATGTACCGTATATGACCAAGTATAACTCTCTTAATATCGTAGGTATAGGTCTGTCACCCTCCCCCTTATAACAATTTTCATCCATGATGTAGGCCCACAGAATGTAGTCTTACCGTATCATAAGTTTTGGGGTTTATAATTATTTCGTCAAAATGCACGCCGATTTTATACATTGAACCGAGTAGACTTGCATCGACTGTTCGTCTGCATACTTCTTTTGTGAAACATTAGTTTTATGGGACTTCCGTTTAAATGGGCGCTTGGAATGGGCCATTGTTTTTAGATGAGTATTGTCGTGTCAAGATAAATCAATGTTCCCAGTCCACCACACTCCATACAAAGTGATTCCTGAGACCACAGCATGGGTGTAACAGCGTAAATTCGCATTCCGACTATGCTTTGATTACAACCAGTCCGTGACGAGTCAGCTTAATTGTTATGGTGTTTACGCTGTGACTCGATCTCGTCAGAAGGGGCATTCCCCTCGTTAGTTGTCCCCGCCCCCCGAAAAATTCTACAAACGTGTCCAGTCTATGCAAACTAAGGGATGTAATGGGCAGGTTGGTCTAAAGGTTGGTATATTACTTAGAGAGGCTCAGGTTTAAGAATTGTTACGACGGTTATTTAAGATAGCATGAAGTGGGCGAATGATTCGATTGGTACCATTTGAATGAGACAACTTACATGTTCTGACGTAAAGAGCACTAGGTTTGGCGCCCCACTCAGGCCTCTCCGTTTGCAGGACGGGACGTATTTATGCCGAGCACACAGCACAGCATATAAATTAGAAACAGCGCCACCTGTGATGAAAGAACATCGATGAGAATATATGAGGTTATCGGTTTTCTTCAGAATATTGTGTCACTTGATTTTTTTTACTATTTTGTTCCTTGCTAATTAGTTAGTGTGAATGCATTTTGGCCATGGTGCTTCGGTATGGCCGCTCTTTCACACTGCATTGTTGAAAGGAACAAAGTTTGCTGAGACCAAAAATGATTTCTCATGGAAGTTGGAAATGTCACTTTTGGTATGGCAAAGACTCTCTGGAGAACTAGTTTTGAAATTCACCCCGAAAGGAAGACTTTTAGCTTTTAAATCTGTTAATTTCTCCCACCATGTTAAAGCCATATGCGCTTTCCCAGAGTCACGTGGTTGATCTGTCTGCTGACACTTTTTAAAGCTCTGAGGTTCCCCATTTTCCCCACAGCAACGCAGGAGAGTGGAGCGCCTCCATCTTACCGGGAGCGAAAATACCGTCGCCGTCTTTGTACCCTATGATCTCTCGCATCTTCTTTAGGATGGCCCGCTCCATCAACGTGAACACCGGTGCAATCTCGTACGTAAACCTGACCAAAACAAAATACAATTCGGGTTTTGTTTGTGCCAGATACACCACTTTGCGACTGCAGCCTTCGCCGTATTGCAAAGACTGAGGGGAGCAGTTGTAAAGAGGCGAAGCTCGCGTGGCGAGATTCGCTTCCAAATAGTGAGACAGAGTGCGCTGTACGAGAATCGTTTGTCTTATTTACGGATAGGATTTGTTTAGAATGCGTTGATACTTTGGATTTCGAGAATACTTACATGTTGGTATTAGCCGCTGCAGAGAGCCATTCTCCCGCTAAAGAAATAATGTCAAGTCCCGTGGATAACTGGTTGAAAAATCGCGGGTGACCTGTGGAACGGATTTATAACACACAGCTGTAAATAATAGCTTTGGGGTGAGATGAGTGAAGGAAACGGTTGCTTACCCTTCCTCAACCCACCAACAAATATCTACCAGCAAAACTATCGTTTGTGGTTTCATCTGAGGTCAATGCATGGTGAAGCGACAAATTTGGAAAGCTTTTGAGGAGCGCGGTTGCACTCAATTACCAGTGTGGACGCAGTACTTGAGCGTGTTCTGACAATCCTGAAGGATCTGATCTAAGTTCTCGGCCTTGTCGGGAATCTCCAGGTGCAGTCGCTCCCTGAGTTCGTTGGGATGATGGAACTCCAGAATCTTGCTGGAACGATCGAAGGTCGCCTGGACGTACTCCAAAATGACCTCTGTCACCTCCTTCAAGAACTTGGTGGTCAGGCCTGTGCTCCCTTTGCAGGGCAGGAGATCTAGAGAAGAGATATGTCAATATGTCGTTAAGCATAGGAAATATTTTGAGGCCTACTGTTTTGATTGGGCCCAAAAGAAGGTCTGGTATCTTCAGGGTAGTATCGCGTCGGCTTGAGGGTGATTTTTTTTCTTCTTAAGTGTTTCTCGAGTGGTTGGTATGATGTGAAATAAAGGTAACAGCCGTCTGGTCGGGACGTAACCTTCTCAGTGTCTCTTTTTGTTTCACGGTCTCCTTTTTACTCTGGTCAGAAAAAATTAAATGCGAAGAAAAAATTGTGATTGCACTCGTAAAGATGCATGGTTACATGAAACGATACCCGATACGTACTGCCTCGTTTGGTTTATTGCAATGAATTACACCCGGTTAGTGACTGATTGGCGCACCGAAGTCGCGCCAAACCACGTGCATGAGATTTAATTTGGAAGTACACGAGAATTTCGACGAATGAAACGGTTAAGCGACAAACACGCGCATGGCGTCGAAAGATCGACTTTTGCCGTCGTTCGGAACGACTTTGGAACTCCTTGGTTTCACATGTCACTCTATTTTTGAATCAGCAGAACTCAATGCAAATTTCAATATTTATGGTGTCCTCAGTAAATGGGACCTCGAGAATCTCACAGTCCTGCGACAGCCCTGGTGATTCGGATGTGTCGACAGACGTAAATGTATGTTGGTCCTGTAACCAATGCAGCTGATGAAAATACATGTACGATTTCATTGGAATTCTGTGACACAAACGAAAATTTACTGGTATATTTTCAAGTAGTTTGTCGACCTGGTCACAGTTGGAACCACACAAGAGATAAATGTCATGATGCTTTACGCGGCTTAGGTCCTGACCTTTTTGTCCATAGTACTATGCGTTATTTCAGCGACACGGCTTTAGATTTGCTCACCGGCTGTCATGTTTATTTCGTGCATATTATAAAATAAAAAGTTATCCATTATTCATGCCACGACTCGTTCTATCAATACATGATTTTTGTCTTGCTTGCTTGATTTCATTTTTAGACGTGAACTGTTGTTTTTCATAATACTAGGCCTATGGAAAAGTATTTTGTTTCATGTAAATATTATACGAACTGAAATTATAACCAGAAATAGCTCACCAAGAAGCGAGGTTTGTGTGTGTATTTCTATGTCTTGTGCTAGTATGCGCGGCCTGAATTAAGTTTGACTGTCTCGAACTGACACCTATCTGGATCGACTCAAGTCACTGGTAATGCTCAGTGTTTGGTTGGGCGCGACTCTGCCGTGCCAGTCTGAACCGGGTAACCGGTGTACATCGTGAGTTGATATCACTGAGCACAGCGGCCGTCTTCAATCTTCAATCTGCAAGGTGTTTTAAATTGACTTACATCATAATGTACTCGCTGCAGCTCACCTGATATTAAGTTTGGTTGTAGAGGCAGCCCTGAAAGACCCCGATTCTTTGTAAGTTGGAAGAAAAATATCTCGGTAAAGAGCATGAATTCCCCCCCCCCGAAAATGGCTACCCCCGTGGGATGTTCGTGTGTCAACAGAATGGACAACACGATTCTGAAAAATGAAGACTTTAGTCGAAAAAATGTCGACAGTACAGTATAGAAATGTCAAGTTCAGATTCATGGAAATGTGGGGGGGCTGGGGCTTTGTCAAGCCAGCGGGACAAATCATTTTTGCCGGCAACTCAGGAAACAAAAAAAAACTTTGCTTCAAACCTTGTAGTTGGAATCATTACACATTGCCCAGTCGTTGCCAGGAACGAAAACTGGCAATTTCTCGCCACAACGTATTAGCGACCATTCAACCGCGGAGGACTCACGCCGCCTGCCGTAATCGGCCTGCCGGTACCGCTGTCTGTTCATCATTAAATTCCGCAAAACATTTTCATAAGATCGAATCGATGCAGATTAGACATGGAGCACGAAGGGGGGGGGCTATCACAGTTGTACAAATACGGGTAGTTTAATGGCAGAGAATCGAATTATGGCAGAGTGGTCACAGGGTGTTGCAAGGAGGGATGGGGGTTTGTGCGCGCATGGCATAGTGTATGCTTGAAGTGGGTATCCGGGGTATGATTTGAAGGTAAACAGAAGCAGGTTTAAGCAAACAGCGCCGCGTACTTTACTGTCTGGCGATTGATAACTGGAGGCCGTAATTTCAGGGATGCAGTCTGCGTCCGTTACAAGTGAAGCGAAGCTCCAAGAGTTGAAATGAAGATGATATTTCGCGCCAAATTTCAAAGCGTCTTTGTAGGGTTTCCAAATACCCGGCGGTTGTTAGTGAAATTATTGTGTGGGTTCGAACGCCGGGGGTGCCGTTTTATGTAACTGCAGCTGGCAAAACGTTCTCCGTGGCAGCGCACCGTCGGCACAACCGTGTTTGACATGATAGGTTATTTGGTTATGTCCAAGCTCTCGTCGTTTTCATTATTTGGTTTCGTCCGCACTGTAAGTGTACATTAGGCCCGTATCTTTCTTCGCATGCACCGCAAGTCAGTCGTTCTCACCAAGCTGCATCGGTTTATGTATCTGCATTTCGGATTTTCTTTTCAAAGCGTCTGCGGCTCCTCAGCCTTTCTGAAATGGAGATTAGATTCCCGAGTTTCGGAAAGTTTCTTTTTCTTTTCTTTTTTTTTACTTTTCTTTGCTTGCGAAATGATTCGACTATTTGTATGCCTTGTTTTTGTTCTTTTTTCAGCCAGATATAAACTGTTCCTACCTGCGGCGAATGGGGCACTTCGCAAGGCCCACCAACTCATGAAGGTTTGCTGCAACCAATACGTTTTCATTACGTTGTCTGTAGCAAAAAAGGGGGGTTGGGAAGCGGGAAAATGAGACGGCAGGGAAATGGAAAACTTGAAAATGAGATTTTAGAGGTTTTTTTGCAAAACATATCTGCACAAGGTTTTCTTTTATTTCTTTCAACATTCGTAACTAATGCAGTGCACTTAATGAGGGTGCCATTGCATGTCTGTTGTAAGGAACATATCTTGGCTGGGTGACCTTGCGAAGTACATCTCCATCCATGTGATGTTTTAATAATCGACTCTCCCCCCCCCACACACACACACAAAGAAAACAAAACATTGTTGCGCTTTTGCCAACATTGTCTTTGGTAGTGAGAAATCCAGTCGGTGTGTCATTTTGTCGGGAAATACTGTCTACCGCATAAAATGATATGGCTACTTCGATTGCATAAAGAACTGTAAGTTTGTAGCTGAAAAGTTGGACGTTTGTGGCATTTATCGTGGCTTTCAGATTTCTTTTTATGGCGTAAAGGAACCTGTTGTGCTTTCTGTCTTTTTTTACAATCGATTCGCAACATTCATGGAAAGCCTGAAGTTTTCTTTCTCACGTGACATATTTATAATAGTCCCGTTAACATGCAAAGTGTTGCCAATAAACATCTTAGGGTAAGTGGGGGAAATGAATTTTAAAAATTCGTTTCAGGACAAATTTAATGCAGTTAGCGTATTTTGCAACGGCTGCATACAACAAAACGCTGGTTTTTGTATTGTAAAAAAAAACAACTTTTTTTTCTGCAACATGCTTGTCTTAAACGACGAAATGAGTTTAGAGATAAGAAAACTGCTAAGTACCTTTGGCTCGGAATTCGAAGAAGTCTGGCTGATCATCATCTTCGTGTTGTCTCTGGTTCTTCTTGGGCACCAGGAGTTGGCCCTCACTGACTGTGCGATCCACCAGCCGTGGCCGGTCCCCGATGACACGACGTCTGGGCGCCGGCGGATTGGCTGCATTCTTCGCCTGGTTGGGGTGGCAGTTGCCGGTGGTCGTCCGGTCCTCGGACGCGTCTTGATTCTCTGCATCCTCCGGGTTGTTCTCCACCTGGAGGAATTCTGACTCCTCCGAGACCGTTCCGATGAGGTTGGTATCACTGATCATGTTTCCGCTGGATTAAGTACCGAGATGACGGCGTGCGTGGACTGCAGGACAAGGGGTCGTGGAAGAATCACGTCTACTTACAGTCTCGTCTGACGGGTGTTGAGGCAAAAACGTCAAGACGTCGTCAGCGAATCTTTGGGTTCCACACGTTTATCTGTTCACTGGTGGAGTGTTCGGCAATTTCTCTGTTAAGACTCTCGATAGGCTTCCCCGGCCGCCTCAAAGATGTTGCATTCATAACTCGTTCACTTTGTCGAATCCAGCAAGTGTGATACTAGCCTCGAAGACTAGTCAAATCTGTGTCAGCGTTGTAGATATGTAGAATGGGATTTCTTGTTCCAAAGTGGCACATCGAACAGTTTTCAAGGGCTTCAAAGTTTCTCGTAGAACCGTTCTGAGCGATTTTGATTTCCCTCTGAATGGTGGTTTCTTTACGCCCGATGTGTGAGGCAGTATAGTTATCTGCCCCCTCTGCCAGCCGCACACCTGTTTCTGCGCGGTTTACCACGTCCTTGTCATTACGACCGTTCGCGATGCGCTCGCCCATGAAAATCAGCTCCCGACAGATCCGTCCAAGCCGATAATTGAATCCGTGGGCATACGGCCCTCTGATTGGTCAGCAATGCGCAGGTTGGGTGATAAAAACGAGGTTTGTGGCATGTCTGATCAAATGGAGGCATGAAATTCGCGGTGGAGCCTATACTGGCTTTGCTCTGATAGATACATAGTTCATTGCTTGCCCTACAATGACACACCATCAGGAGGGCCCACAAGTACCAAAATAGTTGGAGCTAAACAGCAGATGTGCGTTTGGAAAGCAAAATAAAATTACAAAGCAAACGTCATCTTCAAAAGTCCACCTGAAGCGGTTTAAACGCTTGTTTAATTTTTTTGTTTGTGTCCTTTTTTTCCCTTAACCTAGGCCTGTACCTACCCCTGGAAAGATGTCAAATCGTTGCTGGCCCCACGAAGTGACCTGTACCTATTATAGACAAACTTGAGATTTAAGTACCGCGTGGCCTTACAAAAATTTAACAAAAACCTGACAAATTCGAACCGATACGTAATGGGCCAAAATGGGTTCAAAAGTATGCCAAACATGAAAATTGGTAATTACTTATGCATGGAAGTTCACTTGTTTACATTTTCAAACAACGTCATCAAAAGCCAATTTCTGATAGTTCATCATGTTAACGATTGTAAGGTGTGTTTTTTGCTGCAAAATGTGAGCAGCTGTTGATTTGTAAAAAAAACACCAAAAGTTTTGTGACAAGTGCTGTATTATTTCTTCATGGTATCCAGCATTAACCGGAAAAAGAAGCTATACACACAGATGTTGACTACATCTGACTTGTTAATTTAATTAAATAAAATCCTTATTATTTCTTTTCTTTAAATATGCAAGAAAAGAGATTTTAATGCACAGTTTTACTCCAGAATAATTTTCAAATAGGTATTGATTTAGAAATTAGGTAATTTTTCTCTTGTTACTCGTTTGTGTTCTGCAGGGAGAAAGGACAAAGTCAGACTAAATCTTTAACCTCAGAATTCTGTAGTACTCTGCATTAATTAAATCCACTTCGTCCATATAAACAAAGGGCGTTTTAACAAGTGAAATATAATCTCTCTAAAAATGAAGGTCGACTCCTTGAAAGGCAGATATTCCTAGTATGAAAATTAAAAAGGATAAAATCTGGCCAGCTGTCAATTCAAGATTCGTAGATAATAAAGCTCCATCACGATCATGACTAATATCTTCAGATTTTCAAAAAAATGACAAAGGTCAGTTTCTGGCACCGAAAGGTTTTACGGTTAGAACAAAATCTCGCATTGAAATGTATTGTAAAATGTGGCAATTGTTAAAGCTGTTTTTCCCGAGTGTCGCTGGCAGTAAGCAGAAAATCGTGATCTTTTTTTCCTGAAGTTGCTGACTCGAGTCTACTGTGAATCGACTGATTAGAGTCAAGTCCGGGGCAAGATTCTCCTCAGAGTGTGTGGTAATCGATTCATGGTAATGATGGAATGAAAACAGAGAGTAAACAGTGCGAACTCGGTGGACTCGAATGCAGCCCAATAATGCAACAATACAGCGTGCTTAATGCTACATCTGCGCTCACCAAGATCTCATGCAGGGAGTGATGGTGCCAATTCGATGTGTTTCTCACGGCAATAACTGGAAATGTCCTCGTCGCTCCGTCGTCATCATCGGTCGTCACCGTGTCGTCGTCATTGTGCTTCTATCATTATCGTTGTAATATTTCACCACCGGCTTTTTGGTTTGAAGTGGTCTTGTGAAAAAGCCACGTGTTCTTAAGCTTACGTGTATATACTTTCTGGATGGTTTTTATAAATACTCTTGGCTCTAGCCCATCCATGTTTGCCTGTGGCGGCCGCCACGGGTAAAAAATACTAACAATTATAACGATTACAGATATTGATATCATGCATGATGTATAATTATATTAATATGCCGTACGAGAAAAACGCTGTCAACGTGACTTGGGTACTGGTACTGGGTACTGGTAGCCTGCGTGCATGAGCACCCGTGGTACTTCCCTGGTAATACGACTTACTTTTGGCGTTGGTTTACACTCCAATAAGAATTCGCCCACTTGACCCAAATTCCCAAAATTTGATATGAATGACAAGTGAGTGGCCAAATTTGACTCTCTTTGTTTCTCACTGTCTTCTTCATAGTCCATCGAAATGTGTACTTCATTTTTGTCAATGGGTGCTCGCTGGCAAATACGGGCTTCCGTAATTCGTATGCTTCTACTTAACCTTAATTAGAATATTATTTCGGCAGTTAGTTTAGTAACTACTAATCCCTGCTTGCTATTTGTACCAGACAGTGTCTGGTGCTTGGATTTTGTAAATGTTTAAAGTATTTTATTGCAGTCAGTTGCGGTCGTTAAAGTCAATTTTATGAATGTTCCAGGGATATGGCGGCGTTACGGGGAACAGAGTGGCAGATTGGAAGAGATTGGAGATTTGAAAGCAAACCCCGGGCGCTGTTAGATCTAACATCGACGGTTGGTAATTGCTTAACAGGGCGAAGATTGTATTTGTGGTTGTAGGTGCCTGGTGATCTCGAAATTCCTGATGGTCATAACGTAGACGCCTCCCCGGAAACAAAATCTTGTCGTAAACACTTAGCATGGTTTGACGGAATGACAGAATAAAATCCGTCATTCTGAGGAGAAAAACCGTGTTTGTGACAAGATAGCTTGAATCAGTGGCGCAAGGGGGGGGGTTGCTTGAGGGATTTAGCCTCCCTCTCCTCCGAGATTTTTTATTTGTTTGTTTGTTTTCTGAAATGAATTAACACCCACAACAACTCCTGGAAGCCCACTGGCGTTAACTGCTACAAAACTGACACAAGAGCTGGAAACATGACAAATGCTACTGCGTAATGACTCGTAATTGTTTTGTTGTTTATAGCTGAAAATAATAGTAACCTTAAATGGGTACAGAAATTTCGAAGTGGGTTTAGCAGTCATCGAAGTTTTACCGTGAACTTTGCAGTAACTGACTACAGGTTCATCTGCTTAAAAATCCTTTATAAATTAATATTTATAGGATTTTGAAGTAATATAAGGATACTTTACCTTGTTATATAATTTAACAATATGGAAAAGGCTACATGGATAAAAACCAATTGGAATCTCGTCCAGAAATCTGGGTAAATATACTTAAATTAATAGATATTTGTGTGGGATTTGTGTTCGAAGATACGGTGTTTCCTCCTATGCTAATAGGCCAGAGACTGTTACATACTAATTGAAGTTGGAACCATGGTAACTGTCTTGTCAGAGACAATTTCGTCACTGACGACGCAACAACATGTGACATTTTGTGAGAAAACGTTGCTCACTGGCCTTACGTCATGAACTGAAACAACGACACCCCGAAGCAGGAAAAAAATAACGACAGCAAACTATCCAACATTTGTCAAACTTTAGTGCAGAAGTAGATATATACCCATTTGCACATGCAAAGAAACCATAAAAGGCAGCAAACTGCTCTTAATATGGCGCAATTAAAATTGAAAATCAGGTGAAATGGGACACAAAGGAATAATTACAAGAATTTCATTAAAAGTCACATTACCTAAGCCCTACTTAAATCCTGCCGAGTTTGATGCGCAGTGAGGCAAGAAGAAAGCGGCTGTTCATTGCCACTAGACGTGTTGGAGTGAGTGAATTACCATTATGCACAATAACTTAACTCTGTGTTCATCTTCAGTTCAGTTCACCAGTTCATCTACTTTCAAGTATTACCCCCAAGTACATGTATAGATTTGCTTGGTTTTAAAGAGGTTAATTGTATCATTCTACAAACAGTTAAAGGCGATAGATCGAGAAAGGTGAAGTATTTCTGTGGAGAAATTTGGGCCCGTACAAAGTTATACGATGAATGCTGTGGTTTGACGCAGTCCCAATGAACGTAAGATGGGAGAAAGATTATGCAGACACCGAATCAAATATCTACGTTTCTACGAAGCTTTTCTGAGATTTGACCGGGAAAATGTCATGCTCTCCCCTTCAGCTAACTTATGACTTACGAACATGAATTTGAACATAATTGCGAGATCTGCTATCATAGCTCGTACGTACAAGGTGTAAACGTCGTACGTACGAGTTAGCTCAAGGATGAAAGGGAATTTTTTCAAACATGTTTCTGATACAGCTTCGTATTATTCTGCCAATAGTGAGGTCTACATTAACACTGCATTGAGTAGGGTGGGAGATTTCGTTTTCAGTGACCTCTAAATAAAAGGCAAAACTTATCAATGAACACGATGAAGGCACCCCCCTCCTTCGTGGCCAAGGTTGCCGCCCATGCACGAAATCGGAGGGGGAAACGCGTGGGGTGGGGCATCCCGCACTTCGGTCACATACCCCTAGAAAAAGTTTATAATCCACTCAGTTGACGAGTCCCGATCGATTCGCACCAGCGCAGATTTACCACATAAATGCGCCCGGGCTTCGGTCGGTATCGATCCGTTTTTGGTCGTCTCTGTACGTGGGGCAATACTGTCCGCGTCCCACGGACTAAATCTGCAAGTATTTTCATAATGATACATCTGTTTTTTTCCTTGCGAGACTGACAAACTGTACTGGGTGAATTTCTAGCGTTGGTAGGCTATTTGTCACGGTTTATGTCAGTACGTCCGACGTCTCAGGTGTCTTGGAGGCTCTTTCTTGCATCATTCTGCCTGATTTACCTATTCCTGTCCTCCACGAATCGTAAACATGAGTTGGCTTGTGCGCAGGAAACTGTGACATTCTCTGTCTATTTAATTCCAATAAGTTTTCTGAGTTTGCGTGGTTTTGCCACTGTTTTCTTGTTTCTTGTTCACAACGATAACATGCATAATATCCGAACAGTTTTATAAACCTGACGGCTGAAGGACGCCTAACAACATCTTTGAATAGACGTTATAAACAAGTCAGGATCTCCGATGTTGTTGGCCTTGATTAAAGTAGCATTTTATTTCAACTCCGTAGAGTTCCTGCATCGAGCTTTATTCTCTGTGTGGATCAAGTGTAATTTAACGGACACTGTTTTGATCGCGTGAACAACCGTGATTCAAACCTGACGTGGCATTTTCCTCTTTTTCGAGGGGGGGTCAACACAGCGTGTAATAAATTTGAAAATAGCATTGTTTCCACTCAGCTTCCGACATCAGCGAGACGTCAGGGTAAAATACTGTAAGACTCACCATAATAATGTGGAATAAGTACCTGGCTCTTTTGAAATCGGTCCCGACATAACAGCATTAGTGACGCTGCGTTGATCTCGTCGGGTAATGCATCTGTACAGGTTCATTTATTTTCGAGTATCTCATCTACGGAAGCTGGGAAATCTGACCAATCAACTCGAAAGTTAATTAAACCTCCAACCCATGCCCACGTTTCATAATAGTTCGCTTCCGGAGTCTTCTAATTAGCACTGTGCGTTTAAACTATATCTCGATGGTTTCCGAAATTGTACTCGTCAAGGTGACACATATTTTGTTTATTTTTTCAGCTCCTTTCAAAACAGCCATTTGACACTTTTTTGTGGATTATTTTCCTACATTTTGGGAATGATTTCGCAGTCCCATTCAGCCCTCTCACCACAAAAATTAGTTGATTCGTTAAAATCCCGCCCCCTCCTTTTTCTCTCCGCCCACTGGCTTGAAGACGGAAGTCTAGTGATCCTTATCTTTTAACGCTGATGGAGTAGCCCTCTTGTGTTATTGAATTTCCGATGAGATTCTAATTGCACCTGATCAAACAACGGGTGCCGGTACGGAGCGCGCCGGTCGGCAAAGATTGATGCGGCTGTCGGTGCAGCTGCACCCCACGAATTCGATTATTCTTTCGCGGTGGCCGTCCAACGACGACGCACATCGAAAATAAATGATTTCTCGAAAGGATTACTTCAGACGACGATTCGGGTAATCTGGCAAGGCTGTGCGTATAAATGATTTTTTTTTTTTGCGTCATTCATTGGCTGATGTAGCGGGTTTTTTTTTCCTGGCTTGAAAACGTCTGGATTAAGCATAATTCGCCAGACGGGTTTGCAGCGTGCATGGATTTCATCATCGACGGTGGTAATCTTTTGATGCTTCACGTAAGCCTGCGGTGCCTAGCTGTTATGTAGCCGTGACGATTTGCTCATGCCAGGGCTGCCAGCGTTGCGTAAGAACTGAGCATGACAACAAGCGTGCAGTGTCTGACACTCCCCTGAAGTCTCAATCTTTTGGGGCAAAGCGTAAAACAAGGTACAAAATTTGTGGCGACGCAAAATAGAACGACAGTGAGCGTTTCGTCGAATTGTAAGCTCGAGGATAGGAATTTTAATGGTGATCAGTTGGACATTATTTTTCTGCTATAAACTCCGTACTGAACTTGTATGGGAGGTTTGCCGGTGGAAGAATGTGTTTCGTCTATTACGGGTTTCGTGCCGTTTTATTCTAATGTAGCACCCTGGAGAATCGCAAGCATCACGTGTGATCATACTGGTCTGTAATTATGCTGCGATACAAAACTGATCATTTTGCTGTTATTGTGGAAGGTTTTCCCGTTTCGTACATGCACATCTCCCACTTTTTAAACAGTACTTGTACCAAGAGTACTTTGTCGCTTGATAAGGTTCACTGGTGTCCGAAGTGAAGGGAGTTTGGGGGTAGTTTGACGGGGTACACTGCGTTATCCTGCCAGTCTCAGCTGCCGAACTCCACCAGCCAGAATCACTCTTGAATTCTGTCGGCCTGACAATTTTTTGGCTGTATTTGAGCTTACCTATTGCCCATCGCAATAAACTAGACTTAAAGCAAAATGCTACTATAAGAAGCATGCCGACAATACATTGTATTAGGCACCTAAAATACTCAACAGGTTCAGCGTCATTATGTTGGGCCATTGGCACAAAAGAAGAAAAAAGAACAGAGAGTTTGGTTGAGCTGACTTGCGTACAGTGTATGGGGTGAGGATGGAAAAGGATGGTGTACGGTTCGAATCCTGGCCGGTAGTTTATCTCTGTCTCTGTCTCTCTCTCTTTTCATCCTGATCCCTGTTTGAAAATATCAATTTTGAAAGGTTATTTGATTGCCTGCCTGAATAAAGTTTGTTTTATTCAAGGAAAAACACTCATTCAACGTGTTACAGACTTGTGACTCACTTATGAGCCTGGCGCCCATGTCATATAACAATGATAATGTATTACTTCCAAGTTTCGAGTATTTGCATTTTTCTTTAAGAGCCTTGTTTATTAACATCAGTTTGTAATAAGATCGGGTGAATAACGAAGACAGTGGAGGTAGGACTGCTAACATTGCATGAGAGTTGAGTGTGAGAAGGGACGAAGCTATAGCACTGGAAAGCCGGTTTCGGACGCCGCCATCGTTGGGATTTCTCCACTATAGCACCGTCGCAACTAGGACGGTCCCAACGGTAATTCGGACTGACCCAGGTGTGGTTGGTACCTAGTTGCTATGGAATTCCATTTCTGCCAATTACGCGGCGCATTTGGGGCATTCTTCCTCGGGTCTGTAGCCACTTCCGCCGTCAGCGGCGCATTGTCGCGTCATGCCGTCGCATTGTTGCAACACCAAAGATGTGTACTTATTCAGTAATGATTATCAAAATATTACATAAGGTGTGCCATGTGTTAGCAATAACAAGAGCTTGTTCCCAATTGAAGCAGCAAAGACACTGTTCTTTAACCCTAACATTCCTGAATCCTCCAATTTTAATATGATTTTGCACACACCCTAGGGAGTTAGGGTTAATCATTTTGTTTTGTCACCGAAATCTGCCTTAACAGTTTGTTCATACGGAGAGTTTATGTGCATTTCTGAAAATTATGTGTTTGATAAGAAGTAAGCAGTTCGACATAGGATAAACTTAACCCCAGAAGTCAGCAGTGGCTCCATTAGCCATCACAGTGGTGTTTCATGCCTTCAATTTCAGAACCAAAAGCCTACTGGAAAGCTTATACAAAGATCGATTAAAAAGTCGATTTTGCTAAAAAAATGATTTAAATAAAAGAAATCAGATTTTATTAGTTAAAAAAATTATGATTTTTTATCAACCCTGTCATTTATGGGTAATCTGAAGCTGTCAACCTGTTCATCTTTTGGTATAATTATATTCAACTTGTGCTTGTCAAAATACTGCAACTTATAGAGCCTGAAAGTAAAAGGTCGAGCTTCCGGAACCCTTGCGGTCTGCCTGTGGGGATTTTACATTGGGCCGTCCTATCCCGTTCGAAAATTTTTCGAAAGATAATTCCTTACTGAAACCACCCCATGAAACACTCATGTTGGAATTTTACCTTTGTCTTCCTCGAGTAATATTTTGGAAAATCAGCTGGAGATGGGTGAAAAACGAATTTTATCAACGACCTTCAACATCTGGCAATATCGTACCTGGTTGGTCTCCTTGTTCATGCACGTTTGTTTTCACTCGCCGTGCTTTCATAAAAACGAGATTGTACGAGGTTGCAAAGATTTATATTACCTACCTGCAGTCGATGGGTTCCAGATTTCGTTGAGTTGACATTATACAGTTGTTGTCAGCAAACTTTAGTGTAGATAAAATATTACAATCTTTAAAAGTAGAATTATATTGCTTTAAGTTTATTATCTTATAAGTTGTAAAAGTGTGTAATATATTGAGATCTGTTTTTTTTTCGGCATTTACCGGCAGACTACCATAAAATTTCATACCTTAAATGTTCATCTGCGTACGAGACTGCCACATTGCACTGTTCTTCATGTATTTTAGATTTTCGGAACTGATTGGTCAATTTTGGCAGGATATTTCTGTTTTTTTTCCCAAAGCCCCTTTTCTGAGTTGGATTTTTTAAGAAGTAACTGAACGAAAAAATATTACAAATTCTAAAATCTTTCCCTTTTATTTTTCCCATCCAAGGGCTCCTGAAGTGCGCCATCAGGGGTTTGCTTTCGGGCTGTATTGGCCACATCATCCTTGGGATGAGTTTGGCTTTTCAGTCCGCTGGCTTAGTCCGAATTGGCAAGAGTGTTTCAGCCAACAGAGGGCGTTATTCATGATCTGCAGAAAAATTTTTATTTGTGCCCTTAAAACAGATTATATATTTACTTCCCTCAAGTTTGCATTACAGTCTAGTTCAGTAAGATATTTTAAAATACAGTTATGGTATTGTAGGTGACATTTTTGTCACAACATCTGCTCATTTGAAAATGGACTCTACTACACAATACACAGTAAATTCTATCTTGTTAAAACCTTAGAGGGCGCTGTTTACTCCTGTTTTTCACATGTCAGAAATGAATGATTGGCTTCACACAATCTACGGTCGCACGGATAGGCCTGTATTATGAGTGACGAAGGAAAGCGAGGAAAAATGTGCCAGAAGACTTGATTGAGCCTGAACTGTTGACAATTGTGTTGGAGTTCCTAAGACGTCATAAACACCATCCAAATGTCAACCAACACCTTTCGTAGACTTGGGGGTAAGTGAGCTTCCAATTCACAATTTGTGTGCAAACATTGGCAAATTATTATTAGGGTAAACAAACATGGCAAACTCTTCAAAACGGCTGCTGTTTCCGACACGTGGTTTTCCTCGTACAATATCATCAGTGATCATGTAAATGTGTAACATTAGGCCCCTCTGTTGGAACACATATTGCTTTTGAACTACGTTCTACAAACTATGAACGTTAATTCTGAATAAGAAATGAAGTTTCTCAAATTTCTGTTCCAGTGGATGAATATAATTATGTGACCAACCATGAACTAGGCTCCTACAGTTGTCCTAGTTGGGGATTTGAGCTTGTTTAGTTACCGATGCGCAGTGCGTGTGTCAGCCTTCTCATAAGTGCAGTCTTCATGACTCTTATAATGGGGAAAAAAAATGTGAGATTGGTTGACAGAAAAAAAGAGGGGCCATTTAGGCCTAATGTAAGTTTCCTCGTGTTTGTTTTTCAAAGCTTTGTGAATTTACAACAAGCCTATTGTACAACAGAATTAGTTACAAAACTACCTTCAGTCATGCCAGTCAGGGAACACTCTACAAGCTGTCTGTCTTTTTTTTTGGTGATATGCACATACAACTATTGGGTTGCTATCCAGGCTTAATGGTGCATTGGAGGAGAACTTTGTTTATAAAGCGATGATCTCCTTGGGAAAGTCTGTGTGCTTTTAGTCTTACCTGTTTGTGCTCAGTGCGTGTTTATAAATGGACATGTATGTAGGCTATATGAATTTTATGTTCAGTCGAGGCTCATGAATAAGCGCACTGTTAATACAAGATTCTGCTTAAGACAAAGATATTGTAAGGTCCCAGTCATTTGTTTTTCATTGTTTCATTCCGGATAATGCAAGGTTCCTGTTATAATAAGTAAATTTGCCAAGTCCGAAGGACCTCTTATTAACGAGGTTCGACTCTACGTGTATTCAGGCACCATGTGTGTTGTTTCTCCTTCCAGAAGAAAGCAACATACACAAGACTGTGACCAATGAAGCTTGGCAAGACAGAGCAATAAATGGCTGGCTTTTGTAAACCTTCGTTGTAGCACAGGATGTATCAAATTACAAGCAGAATTTCCTTCTCAATATTTTCCTCTTATATCCGCTGTTTATGAATGATTTCCTTTGAAACTTGGAAGCACTCATTCTTTTGTTTTTACCTCGCCTCTCAGTCGTGACAAAGTAGGAGGTGAATTAATTGAACAGACCTTCCTTCATTTCTAATTTTCTTGTGCAGGAGGGGATCCCTAAAGAGCACAGTTTGCCAAGCAGGGGCCCCCTTCAAATGCAAATTACATACAGTATGCAACAGTTATGAACCACATACTGTAAGTACATTTCTTCTGAGAATAAAAACTAATGTAACAAGTCAAGTATTAAGCTAGATTGATGACAGGGAAGACAGTTTCAACAGCTGCAATTTTCTTGGTTGTTTTTAAAAGGGAACATCCATTGATATGGTTGAGCGACCTCTTGTTTGTACAGAGAGTTTGTGGCGCATGGTGTCTTTGTTAAAACGGAGCACTCGAGCATACAAGTAGCAATGATAGACATTTGTAAGACCAATCAAAACACGCTTGCGAGCCGGAAGTGTTGGTTTTGATGTCAAATGCAGTATTTCTTGCCAACTGCTTTGTAATCATTCACAGACAAATGAGGGTAATGTCTTCCGACAGTGCATGCCACTTGGAGTTTTCGGGGCCAATTTCAATTTGAGGGAAAAGTTCCATCTATGGATGCCAGTAATTATTCCTTGCCTGTTAGCCATCAGAAAGCAAAAACATGTGCAATAAAGTCCGATTTAAATGTAGGAGGGAAAATACAAAGTCGTTTACTTAGAAAACACTTTGAAATTTTCAGACCAGTGTCATAGGGTATGTGCATGGGGTGTCGAGTGGCGTCCGTATGGAACTTTTTCCCAATTTGAGACTGACCAGTGGCATTGGGGAACAAATGACTTGATGTCATTCCAATCTTGTATTTGACATGCATTGAACATGCCCAGAGATCATCCTTACACGTCGCTGTTCATTGCTTTAAAAATGCAAATGGGTAGCAGGGGTGCCGTTTTGTCATCTGACCTGTGACAAAACGATTGCAATGAAGTGGTTCACGAACATGTCCACACAATGTCGTCACACCTGTACTTTGTTGTCCTCACAAGAGATAACAATAAAGTTTACAATGTAGGCCCTACAATGTAGGCCCTACAATGTAGGCCCTACATTGTAGGCCCTACAATGTAGGCCCTACAATGTAGGCCCGTGTCTAGCCAACATCCTCTTGTCTGCATTTAAATTCGCACAATCAGTGACAAAAAAGAGAAATTTCAATTTCATTGAAAGTACATTGAGTAAAACAAATCAAAGCCCGAAACATGACCAAAAGCGTTTAGTTCGTAGAATTTTGTGACATGATTGATATTTGTATTAATCTTAGATCCATTGCAGTTTCCTAACATCAGGTTGTGCCGCAATCTGGGAAGTGATAAAACCACTGACTTTAAGGAGCCAGGGCTTAGCTAGGATTAACAAGGCACATGATGTAATGACCAGGAAAGCCTGATCAATCCCGCTTAATCCTCCACAAATGAGACTTCCTTCAATCTGCAAAGACAGCAAGCTGATAAAGTTCCATAAAATCGTGAGTGATTTAAGGCACATACTTATCATGTCACTTAGCACTTAACCGTCTGGACTCTGGACTAGACTTGGGGCGGTTTTTTGGCGGGGGAATGTGCAGGTGGTTTGAACTCGAGCAAACTTTTTTGACATCCTTCCGTGGCCGTAAGCTATTGCCGCTTTCCTGACGGGGCTGTGGGCCATAATTCCAGCTATCCACTCTGCTGTCCCGGCCATCCCCAGGGATTCAATTTCCTCTCTCTCCTGAGCTTTGCAGTAATTGTTGCCAAGCCTCATCCGTCCATTCACTGTGGGTTTGTAGCTCAGCTGGTCAGGTCGAATCTCACATCTACATGTATAACTTACGTGTATATCTCGTTAAGAAGAAAGTCCACAAATTGCTTTGTCGACGGTGCCAATCTGCAACCAGAATTCAAACAGAAAGCTTTGTAATACGTAAGTACACAAATTGTGATGCATGTGTGGTCCGTACTTAACTGTTGAAAATTACTTAAAATAACCAGATGTTATTGAAGTTTCACGATTAATCTGACTTTTTTTAACTACAGACATTTTGATTAATTAAATGTAAAATTCTTGCAGTTTGCTGTAAAATGATTTACGTGTACAATATCGGAGTTATTGAATATGCTGCATACCTGTACATACATACATGTACATACATACATTTATATGCACACACAATGGTACGTAATTTTGATATTGGATGCTAATCTTCAGTCATGGATTTTGTACAGTTCATTATGTTGAATTACGTTCTTGATAAGAGAGTTTGAGCATACTGACTGAATGCCGTTAACATCTGTTCCCATGGGTCATCTGTCTGTTTGTTCTTGGTCTTACATGATGTGCATTCATTACATACCCAGACATGCACCTTGGTGTACCTGTGTTCACACCCACTTTCTTTTCTTGAAGCATGTTACTCCATACTGATACATACTTCAGGTACACGTTTGATTAAATTTTGTTTGATCATGTGATGTTGAATGGGAAGAACCTCTCCTCCATTGCCCTAGCATGGGTGACCTTTACCTTCCAGGGTAAATGGAGCTTGCCAACAGATCCAGGGATGATGACTTCAGCTGAGGGAGTGGTCAAATCAAGTGATGCATAATAGATGAAGGAATACACACAGTGACCGATGCCTTTTACTGACCTGATGCACACATGTACAGTGTATGTGGGACATGTACATGTACAGTGTACATAAATACATATCTTTTTCATGTACACATATATGTTTGTATTGGTGAACTTGCAGTTTCACTAACACTGTATTTGTTTTTCTTTGGGGGGGGGAATAATCTATCTGAAGATACAGGGTATTTTGTCCAATTTTTCATGTGCATAAAAATTTTCTTTAAAATATGACAGTCAACAAAGTTTGGCAAAATAATTGAGGCTATGAAGACAACCTCTGTTATGTATATATTTACATGTACATGTATGTACATGTAGGTGTAATTCTGAAATCGGTAAAGGCGATTGTCTTGTTAATATTTATGGGTGATTGTTCATACTTTGTACCTGTGTACTGCTGAACCAACTTGATGACCCAGTGTATATGCTGGCTTTGATGTGTCTGACTGTCTGAGCCATGAACATGTGATAGTTTGTTGGTATCGAGTTTCCTGTCGTTAGATTTTAATTCCTTTCCTTGTACATTTGGAACATGTACCAAAGATGTTTGTTGATGTCTGGTTCAGCACAGAATGAGGGATTTTTTTAGAGCATTCAGCAAGGTTCCAACTGACGTACACGTACATGTAGCCACTGGGTGTAGATTTAGGGATGTAGCAACTAATGATGACCTTGAATCACTGCATTGCTTACTGCCGGCTTGCCTGTTCCCTTTGACTCTTTGGCAAATGAAATGAGAGTGCAGCACCCGGTCAATGTAACCTTTTACATTTCACAGAAGTGTGGTCTGTGCTTACGCGTGTGCATTCCCACTGTGCATGTTAGTGTTACCATTTAAACTGAAGTGGAAGCAGACATGTTGTGTCCAACGCCTGTGTCATGTAATCTAATCCAATTAATCATGTTAGTATTCACAATTCCACTTATGAGCTAAAATCAAGCTGCGTCACACCAAGCAAACATTTCATCCGTGAATTTCGGATTGGTGGGATTATTCCCAAACACTCCCGCCCCCCCTCCCCCGACTGTTGGAACATGAAGATGCATGCAGAAGTTGGATAGGGAAAGAATGAACAGGTGGGTTATTTAAGGGCCTGTTTGAGGTCCCCATGCTCCATGAGGGCTTGAGTTCACCCATTTCAGACTCCAGCCCCCTCTACACCACCTGCCTTTTCCACCGCACTGTATAAGAATTATTAAGTGCTGACTAAAATGAAAACAAAAATGATGCTGAATGCAGAGTTGGTTAAAATTTTACGAGCACAGAAATCATCTTAAAGACACAGTCCCGATGGCAGGGCATGTACTGTATGGTTTGGTTTCGATGAGCAATGCCGTCCAGTATCGGCACCATGTTTTCCTTCATTACATAATTATGTTTTATAGTTTATGACCATTCTTTCCCCATGGAAATTAACGTATAAATCCATCTCATCAAATCTGAATGAAATGCATCAAGAGAGAAAACTCCACAGGGAGATAAGCACTGGTCATTTGCTTCAAAACGACCAGACCTTGTCCTCTGGAGTGCATTGCTGTTCAGTTATGCAGAGTGCCCAATTCCTGGCAGTAAATCCAGTGGGAATGCACTCAGTACATGCATATAAATGTTGTCGTGTAGTGATCGGAATTTCAGTTGTGTCTGTTTCATCCCCTCCAGATGTACCAAAAAATGCAGGGTACATCACAGACTTGTTCTAATATGTTTTCAGTAATTTACATGTACATTGTGGAACAGTTTTCAAGTTTTGGTGTGCAGTCAATATTTTAAATTATTTTCCTTAATTTCCAGCCATGTTTTACAGATCATTGTGCGATTACCAGCAATCACTGAGTAACACCAACAGACTTGTGACCAGACTCGTCAATGATGTATTGAATAGAATTCACAAGGCTGCCATAGTGCATCTGTTCCTCCATCTAGTAACCTCAATAACCTGTCGTGAATCTCATTTTTTTTAAAAAATAGATCTTTACCCTGATCCTCGCTTGGAACAAACTTCTCTCAAGTGGAAAGCCGTGACCTTGCTCACTGTTTGAAATGTGCATGGGTTCAAAGCTCAACACCTTGCGTCACAATAGATCCAACATGGACGACAGTCAACAACAGCAGCAGGAAGTGCAGCAACCGGAGCACCAACAGGAACAACAACAACAGCAGCAGCAACAGGTGAAACGGCAAGAGCAGCAGCAGCAAGACAATCAACGGGCTGCCGAGAAGATGCCACCCGAGAAGCAGCCTGTGCGCTCATCTCCCGAGCGGGAGAAACCGTACAATGACAAGAGGCACTCCCCCTTGGAGGCCGTCAAGGAAGCCCTGCTTCAGCTGCGCGTCATGAAGGAATATGCCAACCTAGAGGCTAAGGCTAAGATCAAACACATCGCTGACTGCTTCTGGAAAGCGGAGGACCAGAGGGAGGAGATTGCCAATGTCTTTGCCAAGGAGAAAGGAGCCGGTATGTTCACAAATATTGGAAGTGTTTGCACTGCATGTTTACAGTTTGTAGCCCAAAGAGTGACTTGAGGCTATTTTGAATAGCCTAATAGCATTACATTTCAGGAAATAGGAGAAGTAATTTTTTTGTTCAAAGCAGCTTTTAGACGCCCAGTTTTCAAATGCTGTCTAAATCCCTTACTCACACTATCCAGTATTAGGAACATTTAACTTGTAATTAATTTCCTTGCGGTTGAACATTATTTCTTTTTAACATTTTTCAAGATTCGTCTCTGCAGATTTTTAACAGAAATATGCCACAAGTTTTCCCTTTTCATAATGAGTGCGTAGTTGGCATTTGTAGAAAAAAAGTGTCAAGCTTCAAAAACTTGTAGGAATTCCTTTTTCAAGTCTGCTGAGAGCCAGTTTGACTCTCTGTCTGGAGTTTAATTCTTCTGCACGTAAATGTGTGATGTTGTTCCTGGAATGACTTGTGATTCATGTTCTTTTTTAAGCATGTTAACTTCCTTTTTGTCTTCCTTCCCTTTTTCCTTTCCTTTCCCCCAAGTTTCTTTTAAAGGGCCCTAGAATGATTTGGATATCCAAATTTGGGATTTTGGATAGCTTGATCTTTTCCCCCTATTTCTTGGTCTTATTTTGAGAGAGAGTTTGGAAGAATCATTACAGGGTTCCAATAAATCAGCATGAGTGTCTTGTTTGTTTTGGTTCCATTTCAGTTTGTCATGCTCCTTAGCTGCTGTGTTCATCCTCTTGGCCTGTTTCTCCTGTCATGCATGTACATAGATGCATGTAATGCCTGATCTCTGTACCGTTTCTGCCCTTTTTTTGTTGCCTCTTCCGAGTGTGTTGCAAGCTCTCCTTGTAGTTACGTGTTTGGTAAGTCTTGGTCGAGTCATCTGAGTCTTCAGAATACAGTGTACCATTTGCTTTTCGTTTGTTTTGGTTTTTATCAAGAGTCCTTCTTATTTTTTGAGCAATCTGTTGCAAAATGCATCTTCAAAAAGTTTCCACGGAGAGGTCCATTTTTGCAAGCTTTTGGGAAAAAAGTCAAAATTTAATTTTGAAGGCTGCCGCATTATACCGCATAGTCAAGACGATGTGCAGAAAGTTGAGATGAATGCGTGTATGACACAATTATTGTGGATTGCTTGTATGTGCATGCAAGTATCTAGTTTCTGAAGTACTTGGAAACCATGCGCTGCAGAATTGAACTTCAAACTTTGCCGGACCCAAGCACAGAACCAGCTTTCTGAATTGTCAGAAAAACTATTATTTATTGAAAAATAAGTTCTTAATACTTAAATGTGTGGCTTTTAAAGACTTGAAAGTTTTACATGTGTTCCTTGCAGTAAGCCTATTGAGTATTGTACCAGTGCATACCCTTAATGAAGGGCATCAGAGGTTAGTTAGAAACAGGTCTGTCCCATGAGGGCAGCTGCATGGTAACTCACACGCATACTCTCTTCTCTACTGACTTTGTATGTTGGAAATACGGAACCAGTCCATTACATACTGCTTTTAAAGTTATCCTATGTACATGTACATTATTTTGTGTTAGAGCTTGTTGTCACCATGCTGACAGCTTTGTCTAAAGAGGGCCTCTTCAAGAATGACAGTGTCTGGTTCACCGCCTACTATGTGTACAACACAGTGTGGAACCTGAGCGACGCCAGCCTAATGTGCGCCCAGTGCCTTGGTGAAGCCGGTATGGTGAAGTTGTGTGCCACTAATATAGCACACGGACCGTACAGAGAAAATATGAAACAGAAGGTACGCTCCCAGTCAGTCATGGGCGCTTTATTATACTCCCTACAAATAAAGAACACTATTTAAACAGAAGATAAAGAAGACATTTTGTGAATCCCGATTTCTTAAATTCCTATTTTGTTTCTTTGTCCATTGTTTTTATAACAAATTCCTGGTTATAACAAAGTCATTTATTTGGTCCCTGCAACCTTGTTGACGAGAGTTGAATATATGGAAATACAGATGTATATGTAATTCAGCACGAAAGTAATTATTCAGTTATGGATCATTATGTAAATCTTACGCAGTGGAAATCAACAACTTTCCAAATAGGTTTAGGGTCTTTCTGATGGATTGTAATTAATGACAATGACATAAATTATGCTTGAGACTCTGTGCCGGATTTGGTCCTGTTTGTGCAGCCACTTTTGGGTTTTGATTCTAAGCAGACCCCTGCTGAGCCAATGGTTTCAAAGAATTCCCGCGCGCTGCCAGTGTTTTCTGCCAGCAATTATACGCACCTGTCAAGGACTTGTCTCTACATGTAGACGTGTACATATCCATACTACCTGTTTTGCCTACTCAGTATCTCCACACGCGAAAATTGTCATTGTGAAAGGTACATGCATTTTTCCCCTAAATGCCCCATCACCATCACTATCAATTACTCTCAACGGCCCTTTGTTGCAACCCTCCGACTATGAAAGACATCTCGCCAAGATTGATGAGTCGGTAATCGCATCCGATGAGCTTGATGATGCATATTATTATTGTTCCAAGGCTGAGTTGATTTCCCTTAGCCTGAGCTCCCCAGCCTGTCAGAGCATGGTGAAATCCTTGGTGCCCCTTAATCTTTCCTGCAATCTGCATACCGATACGCTCTTGCTATTTAATAGCTGGATTCCGATGTCCCTGTACTTCTCAGCTACATGCACACTTAGCGATACTGTCGCCAAGCAGGCAGTAAACTGAACACACCACAAGCACACAAGAATGTGAAATGTACATGTTATTCATGTTTTCTGTTTTTGTACTTAACCAACCATAACTACAGATATGCATTGAAATGCACCTGTGCCTTTACAATTTTATCCAAATCCAGTCACCTGGTTTAAACTGTACTTTGGTGAACTTAGCGCTCAGGTTGTCCAATAATCGCAGTTTCCCTCCTCTGTGCAAGTTTTAATTTGCAAAAGTCAATTAACCAATGCCATTGGACTTCCTTTAGCTAATTTGTATTTCCCATACTTTCCAAACTGCACCGGGCTCCTCTGTGCAAGGTTTAATTTGTGAATTTAAGTTATTTACCTACGCCGTTGGACTTCCTTTAGCTAATTTGTATTTCCCGTACTTTTCACACCGCACCCAGAACTCGTTTTTGGGCATCATTTTTTTCAACGCGCCTACTGCAAGTTGGAGCTCACCCAAGCCCCAATGTCATTACACAATGGCTTGTAAACTGGATGTTCCAGTGGGAAGACAGACAGACAGACAAAAATCAGAAGTCAGTAGCATGCCGACTTGGCAAATCCTCTCCCCAGCCCGTCTCCTGTCTCGTTCTTGACATTACGCAAGCAAGGAGGTTGTGAGAGGATGGTGTTCATTCACTGTTCCCAATGGGAATGCGTTTCCTTATTGAGGTATCAGTTAACCATCCTGTTATCATTTCTTGTCCCCCAAGAGAGATTAGCTGGACATTTGACACTTCCACTCTGATGTTGGGACGTAATTTGTCGCAAAGCAAAATGTCCTGCCAAGAATTGAACCCAAGTGATTGTTTTTCCAGATTCTTAGAAGTCAAGAGGATATTGGAATTGAAACAAACTACAGGGTACATGTATAACAACTGAAGATAGGATTTGTGGCATGTTTTACTGTCTAATGGACATTTCCAGCCAGCTGAGCACCAACATTTAGCCTAACCATTTTTGGAGTTCTTCCCTACAATAATGGATGTTATTTTTATGGGAAATCAATGTATAGATTGAAAACCCATGCACAAACATTTATGTAACCAATAAAAATAATGTTTGGCTCAACTTCACAGAGGAAGCCAAACCAAACTGAACTACAGCCAGTAAACTGGTGCCATGATTTTAAATCTCACATTATGCAGGGTGCATGCTATACTTCAGGGAACCAGACCAAGATGTCAGCCATGTGTACAAGTTCCATTTGTGTTCCCCTACTGTTTACAGAATGTTGCCTTCCTCATCAAGGCCTCCCTCAGCATCCTGCACAACCTGTCCAAGGCCCCCAGCAACCGTCACTTCTATCGACAGGAGAGGGTTGAAGCCAAGATTCAGCCCTACACCCAGGGCTGTGACGACAACACCAACGATGCCTACCTCAAGGCCATCACCATGATGACACTAGCTTACATCTTGGAGGAGGACGGGGATAGATCTCAGTCTGGTGACACCGGTCAGTTCCACTCATTGTGTATTGTTCAAAATTCAAAATAAAATCTAGAAATCTGGCAGTTGGTGACCTTCGAGATTGGAGTCGTGTTTCTCTCTTTGACTTTTTGACTCTAGCAGCCAAAGTTTGATTCCAGCCAAGATAGCAACAAGTGGATGAAGTTGTTTGTCACTGCTAAAAGTAATGTCATATTGGGTTTTTTGACTTGTACTTTATGTCAGTTTTTAGAGTCTTCAGAGTTAGTGTGGTTTTCTGGGTTTTTGCTCAAGCTTTTCTACTTGCTCGGTCTCTTAGCACAGGGTGTACTTTCAGAGACGGTTTGGATTAATCAGAATATGAAGTTCCAGTCTGACCTCCTGATAGTTCATGGGATTTAAGTGTTGATATCCTCAGCTGAAAAAGTGCCTTTCCCAATTTGCATCAAAACCCACAGGACTGGCCCCATTTAAACTTACCCTTCTGAATTGGGGCAATTACCCCATGGACCAGCAGCTACCCTTCTAGGGCTCTAAGGCTTAGTATTCCCAACCCCCCCCCATTCCCTGTGGACCTGTGGGTGACAGTCAAGAGGATCTCTAATCGGTGTAAGCTGTCTCAACCTTGCTCCTTGGCTGGGTTTAGAGACATCTAGGGGAAGCAGTTCCTTCTATGGATAAGTTCCCCTCCCAGGGGAATTTGGTCTTAGTTTTTTGTGAAAACCAATTTGCAGAAGATGACCAAACCCTGTTTCTTAACCACTTGTATTTCTTACACAATATTTGATGTCACGAGCCAATTCTTTAGTTTTTTTGTTGTCAGTCGCTGGAGAAATGCATCACGCTGTTAACTTTACAAGTTCTTGGTCAGCACTTAGTGTAAAGGCCTTCCCTAATTACCTCACGAAAAGCAGAATCCATCATTGAATAACCACTGCCCTGATTGAGAAGATCTCCCTTTTTGTTACGTGTATCTCTAAGCACTTCTCTTTCTGTGTTTTTTTTTTAAACAGGCATCAAAGAAAACAGCGATACCATAAATATGACCACTGAGAAATGTAAGTGGCTTGAACAAATCATGCTCTTATGAAAAATGATTTCATCAAAGTTGTGGATACCATGTATCTACGAAAGCACTTGTGGAATGAAGGTCCTTACATTGTGGATACCATGTGTCTATGAAAGCACTTGTGGAATGAAGGCCCTTAAGTTGTGGATACCATGTGTCTATGAAAGCACTTGTGGAATGAAGGCCCTTAAGTTGTGGATACCATGTGTCTACGAAAGCACTTGTGGAATGAAGGTCCTTTGGAATTTCTTTGAGGTAGTGAGTTCAGTTTAGGAAGCCACCCTAACTGCCAAAAAGTGGCCAAATTTCACCTGTGTCTCATTCCTAAACTCTGCCAATAGAGGTTTTTCACGTGACGTCACTTGACAGGCAAAGGCAGTACTGGAAGCATTCCACGTTGACAGCGGCGTGTGCATTTTTAAATCTGCATCTCTCATCGTTGGCAATTTCATGTATGCCAGAAGGCTGAGAGACTTAAAAGGTGCACCCACTGCCATGCACATATGTGTATACTGAACACTGACCGTCAAAAAATCATGTGACTGAAAAATCTCTATACTGGTGCCTTCTACGGTGGAGAGTCACTAAAACAGTTCAAATTTGCAGGGATGATGTTTTGAAAGACGTCGTGTCATATAGTCAGTAACACTAACCACAGGAAATCCAACAAGATTCTATGTGATTGACACTAAACCTTGAGGGTTAGCAATAGCTACAAGTTGAAGTTGGTTCCCCCTCCCCCACCCAAAGAGACAAAGGTCAAGTGAAAAGCTAGCAATTTGACAATATTTTATATGTTTTCATGTTTTCTTCAGCTACCATCGAGTACATTGTAGGTCTACTCAAGGATGCCCAACAGAGTAAAGACAGACGGAGTCAGGGTTTGTCGTGTGCTGAGCTGGCTCAGGGACTGGGACGACTTGCTGTCAATGATCACAACAAGAGCAGGGTAGGTCCTTGTTTGTTGTCCTTTCCACAAAGACTGTCGGTTGGTTGGTTTGATGACTGCAAAGGCTACAATCGAAAGTCTGTTCATGGTTTCACAGTTACGTAGACCAATAAAAATGCAATTGTGATGAGATACCACAAACCTTGTCAGAAGTGGGTAACCTGTATGTCTAAAAATTTGTCTTTCCTCACTGATAATTGTCAGGGTGACCTGGAGGCAAAATGCTAATAGCAAAAAGCTTTTGTAACTACAGGCAGTGAAGTTATGGGCTTTGCATTGTTCATGGGTACACTGACGTCATTTTCCAGGAGCCTTCGTCCTTGTTGGCGAAGGTTTTAGAATCAGTATTCATGATCTGTTACAAGGTCAAAGGGTACTGTGGTGTTAGCTGCAATGTGGTGTGGTGTGTGTGTCATTACAGCGATGTTGACAAGGCAGTTACAACACCACAGTTTATGGCAGCCGTGGCACGTTGTCATGCCAGTGTGACGGGATGGAACACGTTCATTTGCTAACCACACCGCGGTGCACAGTCTGGATGCCTTTTGAAAGTACGATCTGTGACACACGCCAGGATTGGCACATCAGCAGAACATATGTAGTACAAGTCTTAAAAAAAAAGCAGGAGCAAATGGATCGAAATGTTGAGTGTTTGCCCATTTGTTCATCAAATCAGTGAGAACTGGCTGCCAACAACCACGTATTAAGCGTGAGACTCAAGCCCTCCAGGTTATTCTCATGCCAAAATGGGATATCTCATCCAAAACAATGAATTAAATAATGACTAAAATAGTGCTTGAAACAGTGATACCAATCAATTTATTTTCTCTCCTTCTAAGGGTCCTGTAAGCTTGTTTATGGTAAGAAATGATTTCGACGGCTTTTCTTCACCGTGGCAGTGATGTCATATGTTTTCTGAGAGTTAGGACGTCAGTCCATATCCACACAGGCGTCTAGGGCTATGAAGTGAAGTTTCTTGATTGCAACATGACTATTCCACTGCAGATTCTGCAAGTTGGTGCCCTGCCTCTCCTGACGGCCATGCTGCAACAGGACAGTCTGGTCCAGGAGCAGGAGGCGGCCACCCAAGCCATCTGGAACCTGGCCTTTGACAGCACGGTCCGCCAGCACCTTGCGGCGGACAAGACCTGCGTGGATGCCTTGGAGAGGCTGACGCACAGCGAGGAGCAGTCCATACGCACGGCCGCCAAGGGAGCACTGTGGGTCGGACGGAAGCAGGAACGTACCGCAAAGCCATCAGTGACCAGCTCCACGACATCTACAGTTTCAGCATCAAGCAGTGAGTGCTGCAGCTGGCCATAACCAGGGAGATTTGAACTAAGATGTCCCAGTGATNATGACCTTGCTCAAGGGTATTGATGTCATGTACAGCTGTCGCAATGATATGACCTTGCTCAAGGGTATTGATGTTCTTGAATGACCTCCTACAAGTTTTATTTTGAGCGTGCTCCATCTGAATACAGAACTCACGTTTGTAGTATTGTAGTATTTGTGATTCTAAATGAGAACCCAGACCTCCCAACCCTCCCGATTTGGGTGGAAAATTTCCACTTTTTTCACCATTCCGATTTTGCCCCTAAAATTTCCGCCAAATCTCAATTTTGACCATGTGTTACCAGAAACTGACCATGTAATCTTGTGCATGGTTCATAATACAGCTTATCTGACTTATCCAAACAGTCAGTGTGGTGCACACTACGCACACCACATTTGTGGCAGCGCCCTCTTTTGATTCGTACCAGCCAGATGATGGACGTGATACTGAAATTGTTCATAGACGAAAACGCCCTCAATTGACAAGCTACATTGAAACTAACACTGTATGTATCGTGCAGTGCCCGGTTTCGCTTATAACCACAGCCAAGAACATTTGGATCCAAGACTAAGCACTGCTGTGAAATTGACCATGATCGTGTCAAGTGTGCAAGCACCACATGGTGAAGTTTTTGCTGAATTTTGCGGTGAATCAACACATTCAGCAGATGAAAAATTATTGCGGACCATTTCAGATGATGTACTCTTTTAGAAATCAACATTTTACATATACGTGCGCAACTGTGCATCATCATGGACATGGACTTGACTCTTGTTCAGTGCAGCACTGATTTTTGGACATGGACTTGACTCTTGTTCAATGCAGCACTGATTTTTTGGACATGGACTCGTTTCTTGTTCAATGCAGCACTAATTTTTTGGACATGGACTCCACTCTTGTTCAATGCAGCACTGATTTTTTGGACATGGACTCCACTCTTGTTCAATGCAGCACTGATTTTTGGGACATGGACTCGACTCTTGTTCAGTGCACCACTGATTTTTGGCCATGGACTCGACTCCTGTTCAATGCAGCACTGTTTTTTTTTGACATGGACTCGACTCTTGTTCAATGCAGCACTGATTTTTTGGACATGGACTCGACTCTTGNTCAATGCAGCACTGATTTTTTGGACATGGACCCGACTCTTGTTCAATGCAGCACTGACTTTTTGGACATGGACTCGACTCTTGTTCAATGCAGCACTGATTTTTGGGACATGGACTCGACTCTTGTTCAATGCAGCACTGATTTTTTGGACATGGACTCGACTCTTGTTCAGTGCAGCACTGATTTTTCGGACATGGACTCAACTCTCGTTCAATGCAGCACTGATTTTTCGGACATGGACTCGACTCTTGTTCAATGCAGCGCTGATTTTTCGGACATGGACTCGACTCTTGTTCAATGCAGCGCTGATTTTTCGGACATGGACTCAACTCTTATTCAATGCAGCACTGATTTTTTGGACATGGACTCGACTCTTGTTCAATGCAGCACTGACTTTTTGGACATGGACTTGATTCTTGTTCAATGCAGCACTGATTTTTCTTCTTCATGGTAATATGGAGAATATTCCCGATTTTTCATGAAAAATTCTGAATTTTGGGGAGGATTCCGAATTCTTCATAGCCAATGTTGGGATGTCTGAGTACCACTTCACTGGTGACCAGTAGAGAGAAGGTTTAGCCACAGTGACAAATTAGGCACTATACACCTGGTACCCACACCAAGATTCTGTGGATTTGCATAATTTTGTCATGTGTAATGACCCCCTTCCCCATTCAATATGCCACTGGTTCTGAAATTTGTATTGCCGATATTTCAAACTAATTGGATTTTTCACCTAGGAGCACCGGGCAGGAGTTGGTCTCGAGGGAGCAGCACAGGCAGCGGAAACTTACCTCACATCATGATCAGCTATCAGTGGGCAGCCCAGAAAATTGTCCTCAAAGTTCGTGACTTACTTGTGGTAAGTGCTGACACTGTGTTACCATAGATTCATGAGTTGGACCTATTTAATGATTGGAATTTTTAGTAACTTTACAGATTTAACTTTTGACAGTGTGATACATTAACCCTGGGTTGTTTCCTGATATTTGATACAATTTTTCATCCATCTCAAGAGTTGTGTTTAAAGAAATCACATAGATCTAAATAGAACACAAACCCAGTCATATACTGTTACTTAAAACTCACAAAGTCTCTGTTTCCTTCATTCTAAACTCCCACCAACATTTCTACAGTAACTGGTACCCGCGGTACGCCAACAGAGAACAGAAAAGCAGCATCTGCTCTTTCCTGAAATTGAAATACTAAATCACTGGTTATTATTAAAAAGAGCTCCAATCTAAGCTCAGTTGTGTTATTCCACTTGGCTTTGCTTTATTGTCTTGCAGTGTTGAGCATTTCCCCTCAAGTCTACTCATGTTTGGCTTTTGGTTTACAGTTGTAATAATCTTTGAAGAGAACCAGGAATTCCAGCGAAGAACTGCAACTTTAATTTGAGTTCTGGTTACACCCAAGTGTCATGTCAGAGCTACTCTGTCTCCAGAGGGATGCCATTTCCGAAACTCAATCTTTGCCTAATGTCAGGTCATTTTTCTGGATCGTGCCATTGCAGAATTCAGGTTACCGTGTCTGGGTAGACGTAGACTGCATGTATGGATCCACGCTCCAAGCCATGGCAGAAGCAGTGGAGAATGCCGAAGTGTTTCTTCTGTGTATATCGGAACGGTATAAGGAAAGTCCCAATTGCCGCACAGGTACCAAGTTCCGTCTTATCTCATACCGGTCACATTTTTAATAGGATGGTGCATTGCAGCCATTTTTCAGGCGAGTGCTTCTGTTACAGAGGGATAGCATGTAAAAGGTGTACTCATATGTGTCTTCTGTGGAACAAGAGTTCTTACCTTAAAGATGGCTGCCACGCACAACCTGTGTAGCCCAGTGAAGTGTTTCAATGTTTGTTGCAGCTCTCAGAATCAGGATTTCTTGTTTTGCAGTATTTGGCCTCAAACTTTTAAGCATCAAACATTTTTTTCCTGCAAAAATGTTACTCTTCCTGCTTTGTTTTAAGAAAGAAATAGTTGCTTTTGATCATGGATTGTTTTCAACTTCTCATGTTTAAAATTCCATCCGTACCTCTATAAAAACATTTCTAGTCGTGACAGTTTGGCAGTTAGGTTCTTCTTTAGTGCCTCCCTAGTTATAAAAGTAAATGATCTTCCTGGTTATATTTTGGCTCATTTTGTCATAATGCGGTGTATCGTTTATATCGTTTAATTTCCTCAGAGGCAGAATATGCTTACCAGTGTCGTAAATCCATCATTCCCTTAATGATGGACAAGTACTACCAACCTAACGGTTGGTTGGGCATGATCATGGGCACCAAATACTACATTGATTTCTCTGGACGTCACACGTTCTCCGAGCAAGCCCAGAAACTGTTGCGGGAGATCTGTGACATCGGCAGCGCGGCATTACTCGAAGGTGAGTCTGACTGTGAAAACAAAACGTGGCACCGAAAAGGAAAGGAGCAGAATGAATTAGATATAATGGTAATGGGTCAGTGGATGTGGTTCTGATGGTGATATTCTTCCAGGATGTGGGTTCATACTGTTGCAACAGCACTCTCGCTTTACTGCTGATCTCTGCTTACAAAGTTAACAACTCTGGCCGTCGCTTTTTAGAAGTAAGGTCGCTGTCCTCCACATCACCATTCTGCAAGCAGTAAAGGTTAAATGACTTTTTGACTCATGGGAGCAGTTGAAGCTGGTGCCTGTAGAGTGTTTACACAGAGATCAGTGACTTCAACCTTTAGCTAAGGCAGGGCTATTTCAACTCAGTCAGCAAACAGCTACGACAGATTTCAAATTTCTGCTTCTTACTACAGTCTACGCTTGATGTAAAGAAGACTATTATAATGCAGTACTCAGCAAACTCTGTGAATCCTAATTTCTTGAATTCTTGTGTTTTTCTTTAGTTTTTCCCACTCGATATCTATAACAAAGTCGTGATTGTAACAAAGTAATTTATCTGGTCCCTGCAACTTTGTTATAACAAGGATTGACTGTTTCCCTTCTCTGGTTGTACCTGCAGAGCCTGTCTTTGAGTGCGACGCCTCGGCAACCATCCTGGAGAACCCCCGCAATCACATGGTCAGCCCAAGGCCTCAGACCCAGCCAAGTCCCCGCCAGCAAACGACCAGTCCCTTCCGTCGCCGTCACGTCTCGGCACCAGTGCATCAGATGCCGAGCCCCCTGCTGGAGTCACCTCCCAGCCCTACCCAGCCGGCTCACGTCCGGGAGTGGAGCAGGGACAATGTACAGCAGTGGCTGGAGCATTCTAACTTGTCCCAGTAAGTCCCATATTTTTTTCCTCTTCTTTTTTTAATGGCCCAGTGCAAGAACAGTTGAGGGCGGTGCACCACCTGGGAACAATGTCCTAACACTGCCAAGCAATAACAGTTTTTGCTGCAATTTTAGCTCAGAAAAGGCAATTGGCGGTTAAACTTGTGTACACTGTGTGTGTAAAAGTGTAGCCCTTTTCAACCGACAGATTATAAAAACTTAGTCCTGCGTTGTCATTTCTTGATGGACTTTCAGTTCTTGAAATTGTATTCTTGAAGCAGTGGCACTGTTTTATTCTTCTAAAGGTCAATCCCAAGTATGACATGTAAATTATCTATGGATTAGGAAGTACATGGGAACAGAAACTGCAAACTTTTTTCGTTAATAGCTTGATGCTGTCAAATAGGATTGAATGTTTGCTGGAGGCATGATGTACACGCTGTTGTTGAAAAGAAAATAAAGGCTGGGAGGTAGCATGGGTAAGGTGAGTGGAAATATCAAGACTGAAATGGACAGCGTTTGTTCTTTTGATTCTTTCCTTTACAGCCTAAGACAATCCTTCGAAGACTTTGACGGTTCGTTACTTGCCCAGCTCCAAACAGTCCGACAAGAAGCCCCTGATTTCTTCTACTCCTCGCTGCGGCACGACCTGTGCATCCAACACCTGGTGGACATCCTCCGATTGACAGAGGCCATGGATAAAATCTTATGACGAACTCGCCGAAGATGGACAGGTATTCACATGTAACACATATTACACCCATTGCTTTAAATGTAGCATTGTTCAGAATCCTGCCCTGCTGTGCTGTGTTTGTGCATCAATCAACAGGCAGGCAGTCGCGTTCTGCTGTCAGCTCTGCGCGTGGGTTAGTCCTCCACATCTCAGGCAAACAAGATACTTTATTGCCATGTTAAGATACGTGCCTACATGTACATTGGGGTCAGCGACCCATGAAGACAATAACAGAAGATCACATCCAAGCACAGGGCTGGACTTGTACGCACCGACTATTTTCTACTTAAATCCTTTCACTGTGGGACTCCTTAACCCCTACATGCTAGACACGCCGTAAAAATTGAGATCCTCAGCCCGCTTCAGCGAACACGGTAAAAGAAGGCAGACCCTGGCTCTTGTATATATGGTAATTGGCCTTTGTGTGTAGCCCAGAAATGAAAAGA